GCCATATGTAGAATAATTTACTGAATGTTCGACTGGCAAAATCCCTTCATTGTCGCGGTTCAATGGGAAAGTGGGATAATTTTACTGCCCACACTGTGATGTGATGATAATGACGTTTAGTTTTCAAAAAGAGAAAAAACATAATATTGCCATATTTATACAAAAGGTAATAAAAAAAATGGATTTTTACCCATAAACTGTTTATTAAATGCCTTAATTCCTGTTTACATTACACATACCAAAAAAGTAGTCCTAAACTTTTCAATGTGTTCCATTAGATCTAATTTATTTTATTTATTCTGATCGTAATTTGTGGTTTGGTCGTTTCATCGACATCATTCGCGTCACTTCTTTGTATATCGAAAGACTTTAGAAAATTTTTTGATAAGAAATGATTACCTGTGATTGATTAAAAATAAATTTTAGTCTAAAGTTTGACCAAATAACAATGATCTATGGACGTACATATCGATTCCGAGAAACCCGTATTTTTGTTCTGACCTTTGACGAAAACTTGATAAGAATTGATCAATTCTTTCTATATCGAATGACTTTAGAAAAAATATTGATAAGAAATGATTACCTCTAATTGATTAAAAATCAATTTTAGGCTAAATTTTGACCAAATAACAATGATCTATGGACATAGATATCGATTCCGAGAAATCTAGGTATTTTTGTTCTGACCTTTGACAAAAAGTTGATAAGAATTGAACAATTTTTTGTATATCGAAAGACTATAAAAAATCGTGATAAGAAATGATTACCTGTGATTGATTAAAAATCAATTTTAGGCAAAAGTTTGACCAAATAACAATGATCTATGGACATAGATATCGATTCGGGGAAATCTAGGTATTTTTGTTTTCACCTTTGACAAAAACTTGATAAGAATTGATCAATTCTTTCTATATCGAATGACTTTAGAAAAAATCTTGATAAGAAATGATTACCTGTGATTGATCAAAAATCAATTTTAGGCAAAAGTTTGACCAAATAACAATGATCGATGGACATACGAGTCAATTCCGAGAAATCTAGGCATTTTTGTGCTGACCTTTGACAAAAACTTGATAAGAATTGATCAATTTTAGAAGAAAGATTTTAGAAAAAAATCTTAAGAATTGATTATCTCTGATTGATTAAAGATCAACTTCGGGCTAAAGTTTGACCAAATAGAAATGATCTATGAACATAGATATCTAAAAACTGACGGGAAATCTAGATATTTTTGTTCTGACGTTTGACAAAAACCTGATTAGAATTTATCAGTTCTGGTTTCACAAACTTTCCGGACTGGCTTAAACAAATTAGTTACCCTTTTGTTCCTATACGCTCTAAATTTAAAAAAAAAATTATTACAAACTTTTATTCAAGATGCCGCCCTATCGTCAAACAACTTGATGATTGATTGAAGTGATCAGAATTCACTGCGCCAGAGAAATAAAAAGGTCATATTCCAGGAAGCCACTTTTCAGACACTCGCCTCATGCTAGGTTAAAGGCAAAAAGTATATGGAATTGGGCAGAAATCAGTGACACCGTGTCCTGACACCCACCCCCGGGCATCGGGAAAAAAGAGGCCAATATGAATTCTCTACTCTCCGAACCCTATTATGGCCTAGCATTTTACCGCAAAAAAAGGGTACATCCAAAAATGGATCTTTAGTGAGTTCAAAACCTGCTGGAACACCAGGTATGAGGCACTCGAAGAGATTCATAAAAGGGCCATCCTGAGACTTACAAAGGAATTCTGGAAGGTAAACGCAACGTCTGGTTGGTCTCCTGACAGGGCATTGCCGCCTCAGAAGGCATATGGACCGAATAGTCTGGCAAAAGAAACACTGAGCAGTTACTGCCAGGAAGAAGAGAAGACCGCAGAATATGTTTTATGTTGTTGGGTAGATTCTTGCAACCAAGGACTAAAAACCCCAAGCAAGATTCTAAACTAAGGACGCTGGACGTTGACTAACAATCTGAAGCTGTCCAGTTAGCTCTTTAAAAAAATTGGAGATCTGCTCAGGTCGAGGCAGAAGATCTTGTGGCCACCTCTTTTATCCCAATCAATGCAGAATTGAACAACGTTGGTCCTCGTGAAAGGTTGAGCTTTTTGCTTATCTGACTTGATGGCTTGATTTTGATCGCAAACTTGATATGGATTCCTCTTCCTTTTAACACCTTGGCTGTTGTGTTCAAATGTTCCTTTCGATTTATAACTTGAAATTGTCTTAAATGATTCAAAATTTCTATTAAAAACAAACGAAAAACGTTTGCCTTTAAATATCAGTTGCCACTGTTTTCTTGAAGTTAAAAAAAAAATTTGGGGTAATTTTATTAGTTAAAATACTCTCTCGTTCGTGTTAAATTCAAATTCCACCACCGCTTAAAATTTGTTTTAATTAAAATAAGAGGCGCCTGAAATATCCAAAGGCGTGGGGCTGAGGGACGCGAGGGCGAAAACGGAAAGAGAAACGAGAAGTTATACGTTTAATTTTAATGAAGTTAAAAGCTATGTGTGAAGAGGCTCGAGCCTCGGGCTAACACCTTTGTACGTCACTAAAACATTCTGCTAATGGTAAAGGTGTAAAAGAGAAGAATGAGAATTAGAAAGAGTATTAGAGAAGAGGAGTCGTTGCTAATGGTATTGTGCCCCGGGGGGTTATGTTTCTCACCCTTATATTTCGCACGGCCCTCCAATTCACTTTCCACCCCTAAGCTTCCACACATTCTCTAATTGTCTACCAGTTTTACTCTTAAAATCCACCTATTCGGCGTGATACGAACCAAGATAATTACATCTTTTTTCCCCCTTTACAAAGAAGACCCCTCGGGAAAAACAATGGGAAATGATCGATTTCGACAATAAAGTTTTAGATGATATTAATTAGTTAAGTTTTAATTGGTTCTTGCAGTACTGGGGATTTATTATTTTCACGTAAACAATATTAAAATCCAATGGAAGATAAACAAAACTTTCTGGGGCATACCATACCAAGTTTCACGTATTGCCAGTCAAACCAGACATTCAACCGCATAAAAAAAAGTCAATAGGTAAAAAAAGCAATGAATAAACAATACGACACAAAACCTAAAGTTATAAGCAAACATGTCTTTTCAGATATTCAACATCATGGGAGATAAAGAACCAGTCTAGTTCCCGCTGTATTTTGCCTGAAACCACCTCTTGTTAAAATATTCTCCATACTTCCTCAGCTTCATATGTTTTAAAGTCCTTGCATCACCAGACTATTTAATATCATCGACCATCAATCTAAAACACCACATCTTCAAAATTGACCATTCCATACCATCATAAAACTAGCCAATATATAATTTTCCAGCACAGATTTAGCGGAGTTTCTCAAGGATTGGTCCTGGGTCCAATTCTGTTCTCCTTTATATCAGTGATATAAATGGCATTTACTGCGAAATCAGTAAGATTAAGATAATTGCACTGAATTGCAAATGAAAATTGATAAGAGTCTCTACTTTGGGGTATTAATCTTAACTAGTGCTATGTTCTCCATCTAGGCGCAAAAACCTTTGTTTAACCTAAAAACATGATGGTGGATCTTTGACCTGTACAACTTTTCAAAAGGACTTGGCGATAGCAATATCAGAAGACTTAAAGTAAAATAAATATGTCGTGAACTTAGTCAAAAAGGAAGCTTTCTTGAGAAAGCAGAATCCAGCACCTTCTCCTGAAGTATTAAACAAAAATGTTACCCATGTTCGAGCCATACCAGCGTTTGCAAGTAGTATTTGGAGCGTATACTTTAAAAAAAAACATTAAACTTGTAAAAAAGTTTTTTACCAAAAACCTCCAAAAAATTTAAAACCATATAGCTACATCGACCAACTTAAATCCCTAAATTTAACAACCTTTCAAGATTTTAGAGAAACGCAAGAACTCATCAAAACCTATAAAAAGTGTACAAATAACTATGACCCTAAAACAGCGCGCTCAGAAATTAGTTGGATCAACATTCTTCACAAACCGTGTCGTAGAAAATTGGGATTCTCTGCCATCAAATGTCAACGACTCACCATTTGTAGGATATAGCAACATCCAGGAACTGTAAGAATATTGAGCTGTTCAAACATAGAAGAAAATTGAAAATGTGGTCTTGGGGTGGTTTTTGGGTTTTGGAGAGTTGAATAATGATTTTAAAATCCTGTCCTCCACTGCGACCTATCTATTTTGTAGTACCCTCTAAATTGTAGCTATACCTTGAAATGTGTAATTTTCCTATAAGACTAACCTTCCTTGGTGCCTCTTCGTACACCTCTTTTGGTGTGAGAATTGCCTTGCCGAAGTGGCTGTACCTTCTGGGCTAACACTTCAAATTCATCGGTTTTTCCTGACAGAGTCGATACGTTTCTGTGTCAACCTTGCCCATCTTCTTTAGATGGTTGTTCAGAGGACAGGGCCGGTTTATAGGCGTATAATTTTCCTCAAATACTGCCTGTTGATGGAGAGGTTCCTTTGCCTTATTTTAGATATTAAATCTCTCATACCAAGTGCTGTTGTCCAGTGCTTGAGATGTTCTTTCTCAAGCTATTTTTCCAGTTCCAACTTGAGCACACACTCGGCTTGGTTTTGGTTCTAGTCCCAATGGTGAGAGGGTTGCCCATTTTTTGGCTATTTGGTCAGCCCGTTCATTTCCTTCTATACCTACCAAGAACCCACTTTAAGATAACCATTTCGTGTTTTTCTAAGATAATTAGGCATACACACATCCCGATAATATATCTTCATTTACATCTTGCCTAATACCTGGTGCTTTTGTCGAGTGATTGATTTTTTTTTCTCAAGCTATATAGCCATCTCTATGAATATTTTTTAAAAGTTTAAGAGTCTATAACCTTGTAAATTAAAATTAGTTTAGATCTGTAATTATTATTAATATTTTATTTATTTATTTTTAATATTAAGTTTATGCAGTTCACCAGGTATATGACATTCAATGACGTCATATATCATTATCATAGACACGTTTTTTAAAACATAAATATACCAAATTACGAAATTAAAAACACTTATAATTATTATTTCCAAATGTTATGTAATTTTAATTTACTTATTTTACATAAATTTACTTTATCTTATGTTAACTTCCATGTTAGCGTGTTTGTCATATAACCTCCCTACTTTGGTGTTTGTGCGAAGCACGTTTTTATAGAACTCTGGTGTTTCTGATAGTGTACGAGATGGCTGAGACTATGAGGCGGACGGTCAATATGATGTTGCAGGGGATTGAAAGGTATTTTTTGATTAAATATGATGCTGGATCTGGAAGCTTTATGTGTTCTGTCTGGTTTGATATGTTGAACTTTTTTTTTGTTTTAAGAGCAAACTTGAAACTATTAAACTTACAGGTACAATCCATTGAACCTGCAGACGTTTGAACGTTACGTTGAAATCCAGTCTCAGGAGAACGCGTACCATTTGGAGGCGAATCTCGCTGTGCTCAAGTTATATCAGATAAACCAGAATTTCAATATTGAAATAATCTGCCACATATTGTTGAAGGCGCTGACCAACCTGCCGCACACAGATTTCATCCTTTGCAAATATCTTTTAAACAAATCACTCGTAAGTTGTACCGTGTCATGTAGAATAAACCTAAATAAACTGGTTTTCTGCCTGTATTTCAGTGTAACACGTCTCCTATTAAGGAAATCATCGAATTGGCCGACCTTTTGGAATGCTGCGAATTCCAGAAATTCTGGATCAAGGCGAGATCGATGGACGAGCTCTGCTCGAGGATCGTCGGCTTCCATGACTCGATCAGGAAATTCGTCTGTCATGTCGTTGGGATCACATTCCAGACGATAAACAAAAATCTTTTAGTACAACTCCTTGGAGGCGTAGATGGTAAAAACCTTTATTTTTTAATAATTATAAGATGATTATTTAGAAATCGTGAGATGCGGTCTGGTGTGATGTAGGTTTCCGGAAAAAATTTCTTTATCGTGCCAATGTTTCAATCTTTATTGAGATCATCTTCAGATCCTGGGATTTACAAACATTGTTTAAATTTAACAAAAACATGTAGGATGTGGAAAAAAGTGAATTTATACAATGCAAAAAAATATTTTTTTTATATAATAATAAAAAGTAAAAAATATTTTTACTCACTTTGAGGTAGTAGAAATACTTTGATTGAATATAAAAAAATATTATTTTGCATTGTATAAATTCACTTTTTTTCCACATCCTACATGTTTTTGTTAAATCTAAACAATGTTTGTAAATCCCAGGCACTGAAGATAATCTTAATAAAGATGGAAATGTTAGCACGATAAAGAAATTTTTTTTCGGAAACCTACATTACACCAGACTGCATCTCAAGATTTCTGATCATCGACTAACCACACAAAAATAATTATAAGTAACAAATTCCCGATTGTAACAGACCATCCATGACAATTTCAGATACGACGTTTCAATTGAAACAGTGGGTCCAGAAGTACGGCTGGAAAGAAATTGATGGCAATATGATCTTCATAGCCAACCAGGATGAAAACATCAAAACTAAAAATATTACCGAAAAGATTGATTTTGAAACCGTTTCCGGGATTATGGCTGCTTGCAATTAATTGATTCTGTTTGTATTAAACATTTTGTAAATTATGAATAAAATACAATTTCTACTAAAAAAAAAACTGGTTTTTAATTGTTACAGGTTTCTCCCTTTAATAACATATTCATTGTGACAACTCCATTAAGTAATTTATTTTGCCTTAATTAGCACTTTTGTTCGTTTGAAGGAATTTATGGTGACAGACCTTTTTTAAGTCTGTTTGGTAATGCCTAATGGTTACTTGAGACCCTATGGTTTGTTTATCACTTTTCCTTCTCATGATAATTTGGCCTGCAATCATGGACTTAGACAATTTTCTACGATCGGCCAGTGAATTAGAACTCATGGCTGTGTACTATCTAGATGAAATAAGATCCCTATGACTACCGATTCATGGCTTGGAGATAAAAATATAATCACAAAGTAACATCGGATGTTCATTTGTCGTTTAAAAAAATCCATTTGTAAAAATACAGGCTTTAAGGTCATTGTGATGGATTAACACAGGTCAGGTGTAAATCGTTGAGAATCCAAATAAAGTTATTTACATATGTATAAAAATCCAAAAGAGATGGCCAATTATGCGAGTACATTAGGATCCAAGCAAAACTACTCAGCGATGAAGGAAAAGAATTAGCTTTGCTTCTGACAGCTTGCAAGGCAATGAAGAGACTGTCATCCAGTAGACTACAACAGATGTATCCCTAAATAAAAAACACATTTTTGAAGAAAATGGATAAAAAGTAGAATCTTGTATGTATTAGTTCAAAACAAGGAGAAGAAACGAGAAAATTTGTTCTGTAGCTAACTGAAACAATCAAATATATACACATATTTGGTCTTGCAACATCGCCAGCTGGCGTATGTGGTAGTTACTGTTCAGTATCATCCTTCATTTTTAAACAAGATCATTTAGCACGATCTGGTCATGCCAATGAATTCTCTTTGTCAAAAACATAAACATTGCACTTATTTTTTTTTTTTTTTAACTTACTTCAAATTAAATTTGTGTCATCGTAACATTATGTAATTTGCTTTATTTTATTTTAAAAATTACATTTTAAAACATTTCTGCCTGCCAGGAAAAGTTGAGATTGACCATCTAATCATACACAATGAAAAATTAAAGATCTTTATGTACATTTCAAATTATGCGTTCATATTATTTTTAACTCAAAAGCCAAATTAGAACTTCATAACATTGTCATTACTTAAATAAAACTTATATATGTTTGAAATCAAGCCTTGATATTATTTTTAACTAATAAAGCAAAAATAAAACATTAATAACACTGTCCTAACCTTAAGTCATTCACATGGAACTCAAGTTGTAATGCAAATTCCAAAATATGTGTATGTGTAAAACACATGATTTTCATACTCAATGAAAAATTAAAGATTTTTATATACATTTGAAATCATGCCTTGATATTATTTTTAACTCATAAAACCAAAACAAACAGTTGATGACACTGTCCTAACCTTGAGTCATTCACATGGAACTCAAGTTGTAATGCAAATTGCAAGATATGTGTATGTGTAAAACATGATTTTCATACACAATGAAAAATTGATGATCTTTATATATATTTGAAATCAAGCCTTGATATTATTTTTAACTAATAAAGCGAAAATAAAACATTGATAACACTGTCCTAACCGTAATTTATTCATTTGGAACTCAAGTTGTAATGCAAAAACATACATGATTTTCATACACAATGAAAAATTAAAGATCTGTATATAAATTTGAAATTATACCTTGATATTATTTGTTACTAACAAAAAAGCAAAAATAAAAAATTGATATAATTGTCATTACTTAAATCATTCACATGGAGCTCAAGTTGTTCAACTAATCTAAGATATGTGTATATATAAAACATACATGATTTTCATATACAATTGCAAAATTAAAAATTGCTGTAATTAAGATCTGTTTACTTACTAAAAAAATGAAAATGAAATTTTTTTGTTACTTACACAGCCAAGGTGAAACAGTGGTGACAGTGACAAAACGCAATTTTTTCATACGGAACTTAATTTCAAATGGAGGTACTCAAGATTTGTATATACTGCTGCTAACGCTCCATGCGAAAGTAAGTGGAAGTGGAAAAAGCTCGGAGGAGGTTCTGTTTTATCGATGCTTACCGCTTCTCAACTCGAGCTTGCAAGTTCGTTCGGCTTTTTGGAAACTCGTCGCGAGCCGAGGATTTTCTCAACTGGCGCGTTTGCGAACCTGAACGAGCATGGATCACATGTTGCCCAGCCCGGGGTTCAGCATCCCCAGCATAGGCACGCCTTTGCACCAGCCGGAGGAGGACCAGCAGATCCTGCCGACTGCACAGGCTCAGCAGCAGCAGAGTTCGCAGCAGGCTCCGCTCCAGATGCCTCCACTCTTGCCAATACAGTCCAACCTTACCTCTGCACACAAGTCGATGAGCAACTATGGGTTCACCACTCCGCAGAGCCTTATGCAGCCGCAAACCCCTGTTGGTATTCTAGTAATGTTACAATTTAAACATTAAGCAGTTATATATTTTCACAAATTTTTGGCCTCTTTCTAAATTTTGCCTCCATTGTGTGTTAGCATCTTAGTTAAAATAACATTTCATATTTCAGCAAACATTGATGTCCCCTATGATACACAATTTGGACCAACCACCTAGCATTATCAATCCAACGACCCCCGGACCGATGACGCCTATGACACCAACTTCATCGGAGCCAGGGATCACCCCTCAATTACAGTAAGTCCTGTTAAAACTGTGACGCATCTACAGTCTGTAATATTTTTTCATCTCAGGAATATAGTCTCAACTGTCAACCTTGGCTGCAAGCTCGACCTGAAGAAGATCGCTTTGCACGCGAGAAACGCAGAGTACAATCCAAAACGTTTTGCGGCAGTAATTATAAGAATTCGAGAGCCGAGGACGACAGCTTTGATTTTCAGCTCGGGCAAAATGGTCTGCACGGGTGCAAAGAGTGAGGACGATTCGAGACTAGCAGCGAGAAAATATGCCAGGATTATCCAAAAACTTGGATTTCAGGTAATGGTACCTTGAATAATATCCAGAAAGCATAACTTGATTTAGGCTGCTCTTAATTCTCACGTTGGAACTGACTGTATCCAAATGTTGTTCGTCGGTGTTTGATCAACATCGAAACTTTCCCAAACTAGTGTATGCAATAAGATCTCATACTGGAACCGACCTAACATGTTTACTAAGTGTGTGGTGATTAATGACCGTTAATCGATATTTATTTAGAAATCGTGAGACCAGACCATATCTCACGATTTCTAAATAAAAAACATTGACTAAGGTTTTTGACAAGTGATCAATATCTCATCCTTTTTCGATGGAGCAGGCTTTCAAATGGCCTTTGAAGTTTTAACTGTTCCACCGGTTTGCAGTAAAAATCCACAAACTGTTTTGCATCCATAAGCACCATTTNGTATATTCGCACCATTTTACAGGAAAATCGATGAACTGGTTTGCATCTGTTTGCACCATTTTGCAGGAAAATCCATGAACTGGTTTGCACCCATTCGCACCATTTTACAGGAATATCCATGAATTGGTTTGCGTATATTCACACCATTTTGCAGGAAAATCCATGAAATGGTGTGCATCTGTTCACACCATTTTGCAGTAATAAATCCATGAACTGGTTTGCATCCGTTTGCACCATTTTGCAGTAATAAATCCATGAACTGGTTTGCATCCGTTTGCACCATTTTGCAGGAAAATCCATGAACTGGTTTGCATATATTCACACCATTTTACAGGAATATCCATGAATTGGTTTGCGTATATTCACACCATTTTGCAGGTAATCCCATCAATTGGTTTGTGTAAATTTGCATCATTTTACAGCAATAATTCACAAACTGGTTTGAGTACATGAGCTCCGTATTGCAGGCAAATCCACGAACTAGTTTGCATATGTTCACACCATTTTGCAGGAAAATCCATGAATCGGTTTGCGTATATTCGCACCATTTTACAGGAAAATCCATGAATTATTTTGCGTATATAAGCACCTTTTTGCAGTAAAAATCCATGAAATGGCGGGCAACCGTTTGCGCCATTTTGCAGTAATAAATCTACAACCTGGTTTGCGTACATCACACCATTTTGAGGGAACATTCACAAACTGGTTTGCATCTATTCACTCCTGTTTTGCATTGAAATCCCAAAATATTTTATGTCCATTTGCATCGTTTTGTAGTAGAAATATACAAACTATCTTGTCGTTCACTTCTTGCACCATAATGCATTAATTCTGAGAAATAAGACACGCTTGATATATGAGGGCTTACTTATCAATAAGTATTTGGGTTGTCCATCAATTTCATTTTCATCAAATTTCAAGCGCGAATTTGCACTTTCGCTGATTTCTATTCTCATCGGATTGAGGCCTTAGTGAATTTTTTATGGGAATTCATTTGGATTTCTTGTGAGTAGCCATAATCATAGAAAAAGCAATTCTTTTAATTCAAAATTTATGTTTAAAATATCTAAAAGAACGTTTATAAAATCATTCCAACCACAGAAAAGAACGTGAGAGCTCACATTGGAGAGCGATGTCTGCATTCATTGGAAATAGTCAGTTCTAGCGTGAGACCATCATTGTCCATTTTTCATCTTAACATAGGCCAATGCCTCAAAATTTAGACCTTTATAATAAACTGAAAATATTAATACAAGGTTTGATATTTTCAGGCTAAATTCCTTGATTTTAAAGTACAGAATATGGTCGGAAGTTGCGATGTTAAATTCCCAATTAGATTAGAAGGTCTTGTTTTAACGCACGGGCAGTTCAGCAGGTATGAAATGCTTTCATGTCTTTTACTTCAAAATTTATCGCATTTATGCTAATGATAAAATGTTAATTGCAGTTACGAACCGGAATTGTTTCCCGGATTGATTTACAGGATGGTAAAGCCGAGGATAGTTTTGTTAATATTCGTTTCAGGAAAAGTGGTACTAACAGGTAAAATTGTCAAATAGGCTTAAAAATTCTGTTTTGTTTATTTAAGTTTTTTTTCTGCAGGAGCAAAGGTCTGCCGAGAGATCTATGAGGCATTTGATAACATTTACCCCATACTGAAAAGTTTCAAGAAACAATAGTTTAAAAAAATTCTTTTGTTTTGTTTTTGAAAAAAGTTATAAAAACAATTGTAAGTCTATTCTTGTTAGTTCAAGACTGCTGTATATATTTTTTAATCATTGTACTTATACATATTTATATTTTTGTCTAATAAAGAAAATTGTATATATGTTTTTTTCTGTTTTTTAATTTGTTATTCTACATATGTACATTGAAATAGCACTCAGTTTCTTTTTTTACACATTTTGTCAGTTAATTTTCTGAATCTGACTGTGATTGTTCAGGGGCAGTGGAATTTTCATCTTCTACCTGGTAAGGCGTGATTGCTTGTTCGAAAGATCCTTGCATTTCAGATTCAGGCTCGTAAGTTGAAATGGTCGCTTCTTCTTGTTCGCCTTCTTGCTCTGGACTCTCCTTAATAAAAGTTTGCCCTTCGTTCTCTTCAACGACTTCCTCATTTTCACTCGTTACAGCTTCTTCTAATGAAATTTCGTCTTCTTCACCTTGAGATTGGAACAGGTCTTCCTGGCTTTGAGGCAGCATGCGTAAGAACGGATTTGAATCTACGGAGGCATATTCTTTTTTTAAATAGTCTGTCAATCCTGAGTCCTCGATGTCAGGCTTTGAGGGTAAAACGCCTCTTATGGCGTCTTTGATAATTTCAATGGCAAACTGGCTCGGGCTTAATTCTTCTTCCCTGCTTTCCGGAATAGTGACAGATTCTTCGCTGAAAGCTTCTTCCAAATCTTCTTCTTGATATTGTTGATACTCTTCCGTCGGCGTTTCTGTTCCAGTTACAGAAGGTATTGCCTTTCTTACCAGATCTGAGATAATATTTCGCATCGCGGTTTCAGTAGAAATGGAGCTTGTGGTTTCTTTTGCTGGGTAAAGTGTCTTTTCTGTTTTGGATAAGAGATGTGGCTTCTGTTTAAACTTCAGTGCGCTGATTTGGTTCAAGAGATATTCTTTATACTTCATTTGACAAACAACTTCTTTTTCTAATTGTTTCAAATAGCTTTCCAAGTCCAAACGCTTGAGGTTATTTCTTATTTGTAGCTCTTTCTGAAATGCACAATGATAAAATATTTATTTTCACTTGTATGAAATTGTTTTTAACATTTATTCTAGAATAAGACAAAAAGTAAACTAAATTCCTGAGTATAAAGGTCTAAAATGTAAACTGTACAAAGACAATTGTTCCATTCACCAGGAAAAAGTAGAACAATCTTAGTTCTAACCTAAGACTAACTAGCAAAACCATCTAGGTCTTTTCTACACATGTCTCAGACCAAGAAATTAGCCATTACAAACGTTTCCAAAGGTTAGCGTGGAATGCTCACGTTAAGACAGCGTTAAAACCCGGGTTTGCCTATTCCCCATGGAAGAACTTAAGACTCAAGTCTAAAATGACCCATAATTGCTTATGCATGTTAAGTAGTCAAAACAAAGAAAGCAAATTCCACAAAAATCGAAAGAATCACATGCCTCAGCATCAGGTTAAAATCACCCAGTTGTAGTGGAATGTATACACAAGTGCCACCCTTAGTTTCATTTTGGTTGAGATGAAGAGAGCCAAAGGTTGTGGGTTCAAATCCTGCTTGTGACACTAGCTTTTTCATCTTCACATAGACATGAGACGAGTAAAAACACCCCAATGTGAGAAAGAAGTCCTACTTTACAGAAAGGAATCAAAAGCTATAACTGGCATATATAGGGTGATTCGCTACAAAAGCACACAAAAAAATTCACTGTGTTTATTGTCTCGTGTCTATGTGTTTTGTTTCATGTTTACATTGAATTTTTGTGTGAGCTTTTAAAAGTTTGTTTTTACAACTTCTGGATAGTTGTTTTTTTCTTTTTTTTATATTTTTAGTGTAGTTTGCCCCATTTTTCTGTTTTGGTTACTTGCCATGTTTATTGTATTTTCTGTGTTTTGCTGATATTTACATAGATTTTTTTTTCGTGCTTTTTTTATAAGGTTAAAGGTGGTTTTTACAAATTCTGGATTGTTGTCCTTTTTTCAATATATTTTTAGTGTAGATATTTTATCCAATTTTTCTGCTTTGGTTGTTCACTAAGCAAATTGTCTCTTTTCTGTGTTTTGTTTGATGTTTACATTGAATTCTCCTTTTTTGTTGGGCTTTTTTATTAGGTTAAAGTTCGTTTACACAACTTCTGGATTGTTGGTATTTTTTTCTTTTTTATATTTTTAGTGTAGTTTGCCCCATTTTTCTGCTTCGGTTGTTCACCATGTTATTGTCTCTTTTCTATCTGTTATGTTTGATGTTTACATTGAATTCTATTTTTTGGGCATTTTTATTAGGTTAAAGTTGGTTTTTACAATTTCTGGATTGTTGTCCTTTTTCAATATATTTTTGGTGTGGATATTTTATTCAGTTTTTCTGCTTTGGTTGCTCATTAAATGTATTATCTTTTTTCTATGTGTTCTGATTGATGTTTACATTGAATTCTCTTTTTTGGGCATTTTTATTAGGTTAAAGTTGGTTTTTACAATTTCTGGATTGTTGTCCTTTTTTCAATATTTTTTTAGTGTAGATATTTTATTCAATTTTTCTGATTTGGTTGCTCTCTAAATATATTGTCTCTTTTCTATGTATTCTGATTAATGTTTACACTGAATATTCTTTTTTGGGCATTTTTGTTAGGTTAAAGTTGGTTTTTATAATTTCTGGATTCTTGTCCTTTTTTCAATATATTTTTAGTGTAGATATTGTATTAAATTTTTCTGCTTTGGCTGCTCACTAAATGTATTGTCTCTTTTCTATGTGTTTTGATTGATGTATACATTGAAATTTTTTGTTTACACAACTTCTGGATTGTTCTTTTGTTTTCTTATTGCTACTTTTAGTGTAAATATTTGGCCCAATTTTTCTACTTTAGTTGTTCAATATGTTTATTGCCTGTTTTATATGTGATTTGTTTCGTTTTTCTTTCTTTTTGTGCTTTTTATTAAGTTAAAGTTGGAAATAAATTTTTCACAAAATGCTGATTTGCTACTATTTACTAGATTTAACCCCATTCCTCATTTTTCACACCTCACCACTTTTTTCCCCATTTAGCCTACAATTTCTGCATTTTGGTTCGATGTAATTTAAAAAAAAAGTTATACCACTAGAAAGCTTATTAAACAAAGAAGTCGGTATGAAATTCGCCTAGCCAATTTTTTACAACGGCGTTGCAAATTTAATTTTTTCACACATTTTAAATTTAGCAGTTTTTCGAAATATTTAGTATTTTTTTACCAAAAATTAAATTGAAAGTTCCTGAAAGGGTGCCTTTTTAAAAAGAATTGCTTTTTTTGGATATAAAATAGTTCAAGAGCTATGAGTAGATTTATGACAAAAACTATAGAAAATTGAGAATCGGACCATGGTCCATATAACTTTTTTGTCGTATTTGAGATGATGAACTTTGTCACATGAGTAGTGAATCATACAAGGCATTCTCCAGTTAAATATCACCTTAAAAAATTAGGACTATCAACAAATGACCGATGTTATGCCTAGAAGAGACAAATCCTATGCAACTTGATCCCACCATGTACACCTTTCAAGCCAAACTTCCAGCCAAGAAGGATACACGAAATAAATAATAAACATCTAAAGACACTTCAAGCCGAGATCAACTCAAAACTAGTCTAGAACTGCCTAAATTCCTAAAAAATTGGATCTACAAATAGCCAAACGCTAAAGTGGGTCTCAGGTCATGAGGGAATTATAATGGGGCAGCAGACATCCTTGATAAAAAGAGGAAACGAAGGCAAAAACTATAGCTGCATTAAAAGTGAATTAGAATCTTGGGTAACTTACTCGAAAAAACAAACCAACGGAAAAAGAATTCCTACTTAATATAAAGGAATTAAAAACTCTAACTGGCATATTTGTAGGAGGTGCACCAGTTAAATATCACCTAGGACATACGATACCCCTGAGAATAATTCTTTACTTCATAAAAAGAAAGAAAAATGAAACAAATCACATATAAAACAGGCAATAAACATATTAAACAACCAAAGTAGAAAAATTAGGCCAAATATCTACACTAAAAATAGAAATAAGAAAACAAAAGAACAATCCAGAATTTGTGTAAACAAAAAAATTCAATGTAAACATCAATCAAAACACATAGAAAAGAGACAATACATTTAGTGAGCAACCAAAACAGAAAAATTTAATAAAATATCTACACTAAAAATATATTGAAAAAGGTCAAGAATCCTGAAATTATAAAAACCAACTTTAACCTAATAAAAATGCCCAAAAAAGAATATTCAGTGTAAACATCAATCAGAATACATAGAAAAGAGACAATACATTTAGAGAGCAACTAAATCAGAAAAATTGAATAAAATATCTACACTACAAATATATTGAAAAAGGACAACAATCCAGAAATTATAAAAATTAACTTTAACCTAATAAAAATGCCCAAAAAAGAATATTCAATGTAAACATCAATCAGAATACATAGAAAAGAGATAATACATATAATGAACAACCAAAGCAGAAAAACTGAATAAAATATCCACACTAAAAATATATTGAAAAAGGACAACAATTCAGAAATTGTAAAAACCAACTTTAACCTAATAAAAATGCCCAAAAAAGATAATTCGATGTAAACATCAAACAAAACAGATAAAAAGAGTCAATAAACATGGCGAACAACTGAAGCAGAAAAATGGGGCAAACTACACTAAAAATATAAAAAAGAAAAAAAAACAATCCACAATGTGTAAACTAACTTTAACCTAATAAAAAAGCCCAACAAAAAAGGAGAATTCAATGTAAACATCAAACAAAACACAGAAAAGAAACAATTTGCTTAGTGAACAACCAAAGCAGAAAAACTGAATAAAATATCCACACTAAAAATATATTGAAAAAGGAGAACAATTCAGAAATTGTACAAACCAACGTTAACCTAATAAAAATGCCCAAAAAAGAGAATTCAATGTAAATATCAAACAAAACAGATAGAAAAGAGACAATACATATAATGAACAACCAAAGCAGAAAAACTGAATAAAATATCCACACTAATAAACATGGCGAACAACCGAAGCAGAAAAATGGGGCAAACTACACTAAAAATATAAAAAAGAAAAAAATACCAACAATCCAGAAATTGTGTAAGCCAACTTTAAGCTAATAAAAAAGCCCAACAAAAAAGAAGAATTCAATGTTAACATCAAACAAAACACAGAAAAGAGACAATTTGCTTAGTGAACAACCAAAGCAGAAAAATTGGATAAAATACCTACACTAAAAATATATTGAAAAAAGGACAACAATCCAGAATTTGTAAAAACCACCTTTAACCTTATAAAAAAATAACGAAAAAAAACTCTATGTAAATATCAGCCAAACACAGAAAATACAATAAACATAGCAAGCAACCAAAACAGAAAAATCGGGCAAACTACATTAAAAATATAAAAAAAGAACAACTATCCAGAAGTTGTAAAAACAAACTTTAACCTACTATAAAAGCTCCCACAAAAATTCAATGTAAACATCAAACAAAACACATAGACACTAGACAATAAACACAGTGAATGACCAAATTACATTGAATTTTTTGTGTGCTTTTGTAGCGATTCACCCTATATATGCCAGTTATAGTTTTTGATTCCTTTCTGTAAAGTAGGACTTCTTTCTCGCATAGGGATGTTTTTACTTGCCTCTTGTCTGGTTTACGCTCCCAGTATTTGTTGTGTTCTTAAGTTACCCAAGAGACTCCAGATTACTTTTAATGTGGCTGTAGTTTATTCCTCTTTGTTTTTTTAAAGCATATCTGCTCGTGCAGTTCTTTCATGACATTGGAAGATCCCAGGTTTTTAAGTTTTACTTCATAAAAGAAGCAAATATCTTCTAGGATATCTAGCAGAGATCGGCACTGTAGATGAGATCAGCACAGTAGATGAAAGTTTTAAAGTCTTCAGGAGGGCATCCAACATTGGGTGATGCCATTTTACAAGATTATTTTTTACATTATTCCCAATTAAAAATACCATGTGGTATGTCAGGATTCGAACCTTCGAAAATAAGAGTTCGATGCCCTGACCACTCAGCCACTATGGTCCCATGGAACAAGACTATCTTCCATACTATCCTTTTTTTGATATTGCAGTGTGCAGGTGGCACCAAAATTGATAATAAAAATCATATAGTTCTTACTTGGGTCTGTTGCATGTTTAATATGCATGAAGTGATTTTATTTCTTTCCTCTTGAATGGAGAACAGCTCGTGATACTGGTTGGTCTGCCGTTTCTTCACTTCTAACAATAGGTTCTGTCGTTTTTTGATCGATGACTAAAAAAAAAAAAAAGTTATACCTAAGTACAAAAATTAAATTTTGCTGTGTAATTTACATCTTTCAGATAATTTCTGGTGCGATCGACCACGGTTGTATTTTGATTTGCTTCTAGTATAATCCAGTTTGTTATCACTTCCTCAAGATGGTTCATGTTGATGTGCATCCCAAACTTTTTCCTCATCTCTTCTTTTTTCTCATTTTTCAAATCATGACATTGGCTCTTCATGTATTCGATGTCTTTTCTCAGCCGGACGATGTGATCTTTGCATTTTCTAGACGTACAAAATTAAGATTACAATTTTTCCTTTAGCAACTCATTTCCCGACGCTTACTCCTTCCCCTTGTTGAACATTTGTGTTTCCTTTTCCAAAAGTTCAGCCTTATTTATCAACCTTCTAATCGTATTGGCGCTTACAAGCACGCACTGGCTTAGAGGCGGAAAAATCTGAGAGTATTTGTTGTAATGCTGAATTTGTGATGGCTTTAAAATAACAACTTTCCATATTTTGTTACAGGCATCTTGCTTGCATTTCTTTATAAGAAAGAAATCCAGATAAAAATTGTAAATTTATGTAAATTTTTTTTTTTAATTTACCAAAAAACTATCCATTTGTGAGTTAAATATCGCAAGAATTGTTTCGACCATTAGTAGTTTTTTTCTAAGTGTTTCCAAGTCTTTGGTGCATTGTTGATTTTGAGAGCGAGCTTCATTGATTTTTGCCTCTTCTACGTGCCTAATTGTACAAAGATTCATTAAATTTTTAAAAATTTAACAAATATCGAGAGGAAAAATCAGTTTAGAATATTAACATTACCTTTCAGCACGAAATTTGAACATTTTTTCAAAAATCTCATGATCGCAGTCGTCAGGGCGGATCTTCTCGTCGAACAGATATGCACCCCCGATGGTCACCTGAAGATCATCTCCCTCTGCATCATCGTCAAAATCTTCCTCCATTGAACTAGAAGACGTTGAGTCATCATCATCATCTAGAAAATGTGCATTTAAAATTTTCAATATACTAACTGATTGAAATAGAAATAATACTTCGTTTTTTAGGAGGCTTATATTTCTTTTTAAACACGCGAGTGAGATGTTTGACATATTTATTGTCTTTTACCACCTCAAGAAATTGATTTGTAATAGTATTCGAAATTGCCAAGCATTTTTCGATAACACTGTTATTTTCGTTGATTTTCTTCCTCCTTACACTCATCTGAAATGTGAAATTTTTTGGTATCTCGTTTATTTATGTTTGACTTGATTAATATCAGCCTTCAAAATTATAATTTTATGTTTAAAAAAACCCAGCATAAGGACAGTTGAAGTAAGGGGCATTGGTAGTCCTAGAGGAGCTTATCTCCCAAGGGGAAAAGTTAATGATTTAACTTTATTTATTAAATGGTTCCCTGGTCTCTGATAGACATGCTGTTGCTTATGGAGTGGGTTTTCTGTTTTTTTATTGGCCATACAGATCTTCCTAAATCTATGGGACAACTACCTAACTTCAGAATGTGTGATTTTTTTTCTCCGTATCTTTGGCCCTAAAAATAATGACTAAAATGAGGGTTTAAGTACTCTATTATCTGGAGTCTTCAGGATGAATCCAAAGACTGAACTGTCCTTAAAATTAGGTGAATATGCTACAGTTTTCCAGTCTGATCAGCGATTGAACACTGCACTAGGGAAATAAACACACTAGAGAATACATTCCCAGAAGATAGCTTCTGACAGTCAGGCAGCACTTAAGGCAGCCTCATGCGAGGTGAAGGCAAGGAGAATTTGGAAGTGGAGGTCCTGGAAGTCAGCGACAACAATGACCTGACCCTGGCATGGGTCCCTGGGCATTCTCGCATAGAAGCAATGAAAAGTTGGCCAAAAATAGAACTCTCTCCCGAACCCTACTGTTGCCTTGCCACAAAAGAGGATGAATCTTAAAATGAGTACAAATTTTGTGGAATAATACCCCAGGCATGAAAAGATTCAAAGTAGGACCATCTGCAAAATTTACATAGGAATTACTTGAAGGCAACCGCAACCGAACCAGGAATATAGTTAAACTGCTGACAGAGTACTGGCGTCTAAGAAGGCACATGCACTGACAAAAGAAACACTGTACCGATACTGTGAGGAAGATGAGAGACAACAGAACACATTTTATGTGTTTGATTCTTGATTCTTACAACTAGGAGAGGAAAAGCCGCAAGCAAGATCCTACACCAAGGAGCTGTTGGCAACGCTATGGAAAGTTAATTAACAACCTGAAACTGGCCAGTGAGTTATAAAAAAATAGAGGAGCAAGATTCACGTGAGGTGCAGAAGGCCTTGTGGCCACCTCTTTTAACTCTGCACCTAACCGTACTCTACTTCCTGCTATAGCTGCATGAGAATGAACTTTCCTGTAATTTCTTGAGTTTAAATATGGTAATGGCCCATTTAATTCTACTGGGGGTAAAAAGTATAAAGGCTTATTGAATTTTTGATATTCTAGTGTTCTCACACCCAGAAAGTGAAGCTATTAGGAGTGTAACTCGCATATATCTTTAGTGTCATATTTAGGTTATTTGTGGATGTTCTTTGGATGTAAGTTTCTGTGTTTTTGCCAGAATTTTGGTCAGGTCTGTTTTGTTTGTGTAAGAAATGCATTATATTCAGTTTTAAGAAATATATCCCCTTCATCTTATCAACCCAGGTAGCCCCTGCCATTCAGGACATAGAGGTATAGTGAAAATGGACTTGTTGGGTAAAAAGAAGTTATAATTCTCTAGGTTCCAAACCCTTCTGTGACCTAGCACCTTGCTACAATAAAAGGATACATGCCTGCCTAAGAAGGCACATGCACCGGATTGGAGTACTGACAAAATAACAATGTGCAGATACTGCCAGGAAGCACTCTATGTTTTTGTGAGGGTTTATAGGTGTAAATTCTTGCAATTAGAAGAGGAAAGCCATAAGGTACTACACCAAGGAGCCACTGGTATATGGAAGCTGATTAACAGCCAAGGCAAGCTAGTTATAAAAAAAGAGGAGCTGTGGCCTTTTCATTCCTACACTGAAACCACAATTTTTTCAAGCATAATGAAATTTAACAATTAAGTTTACAAAGAATATCAACACAAGCTAAATCCTCCAATTATTCATACCTTTTATTAGGTTTCGTGGTCCAAATAAATAAATTCTTTTCAATTAATTAAGGTTTTGGTTGAGATAAAAAAGTCAGTGTCACGAGCGGGATTCGAACCCACAACCTTCGGCTAAATACACCGCTGCTCTAACCACTTGAGCCATCGTGACCTCGATCCACTCGAACACTAACTTCCCATCTCAACCCCACCTTTTGAATTTTCCCTCCTTTTTGCCATTTTTCATACCCCTGATTTTAAACAAAAAAATTATTTACTGGGATATCATACCTGTAACAAAGTGATATGTTTTATTTTAATCATATCACTCAATTTTGTCTTGACGTTGACTTCTAATGCACTAAATCCCCTTGTTATTTCAAGTTCTTGAATTAAATAATACAGTTCTAATTTTCTTTTTATAATATGTTTTTCATATTCTATCCTTTCATATGAAAGATTTTTTAAAGCCTTGTCATACTCGTCAATTCTGTTCATTAGATTTATGGATTTAGTGTTTACTCTCTCTCGAAATCTATTCAAAATAAATAAAATAAAAAATGTTTCAATGTAACGCTTTTAACCCAGTAAAGTTTTGAGTAAGAAATTCACCTCATGATGCGCCTGTGAATCAGATCTGCTCTCCAAGGGTGGATCGGGAATATCGTCGCTAAAGACATGTGGTCTTCGTACGACATTACGCCAGGCAGCCAAGTGTAAGTTACATATTTACTCATATTTTCTGTCTCTTCGAAAATTTCATGAAAGTTATGATCACCGTACAAATCTTTTCGTTCCTCCTCCCACTCCTGAGGGATCGGAGGTAGAGGGTCGTCAAGAATGCAATGAGGTGGCGTGTTCTAAAAGTACATTAGTTCGAAACTAAATTTCAAGCTTAAAAAAAAACAAATAAACTCTACCATAAAAAGCTTTTCAGGAAATTCTAGCTCAGTGTTGAAGTTCGGAGTCCTTGGTAAAATTATATCATCCATACGGCATTCCTCCGACATGTAATCAATTTCACCTTTTAAAATTTGGAACTCGCGTAAAATATTAAACTTATCAGTTCTCAATTTCCTGAGTTTTGAGTTGAACTCCAATTTAATTTCATGGAGCTGAAATATTTAATAAATTAATTAACTTCTGTATTTTTGAAGTATAAAAAACTCACATTTCTCCTGGTCTTTATGACCCGCCAGTACTGTTCATAGAGTGTTAGTCTGTGTTCTTTCGGTGTTCTATAATCGGGATTTAATTTTAACTTGAATTCCGCATTTCCTGGATGACCTCCCAGATTGGGAATAAAATAAGCCTTCTTGCAGTTTTTCTTTTTCAATTCATTTAATTCGCTAATCTAAAAACCAATCGTTTTTCTTTCACGGTTTAAACACAAAAATTAAATTAGGGCATACATGCTCGTGGATATTTCTTCTTTCTCTTCTCGACTCTGTTATTCTTTTTAAAAGTTGCAAGTTTGCCCTGGATATTTTACCACTTTCAAATAGCTTCTGACCTGCTTTATCAATCACTTTCAGCATATCTACACCTCGCTTTTTGGGCTTTTTCGCCTTTTTCTGAATTTTTTTTGCCAGATCCTTTAACTTTTTGGCGACGGTTCTTAAAAATTAAAAAACTTTTGTGACACAAATAAAGAAAAATGCAATTTTGCAAACTCTTAACAATTATTTGACCTTTCTCAAAAAGCTCACATTTTTAGTTTTAAGTGAACTTTTGGTTATTAAATACTGAAAAACTTGGAACAAAATTTATATTTGTTTGAGTGTGTTTTAAATATGCAAATCCAAACTGTATGGAAGCATTTCCTCGTGATTTGAACTTATTGTACTGATTACTCATTTAAATAAGCTCAAATCTGCATGTGCATACACGCATTTACAGAGTTGAGTCTAAACTTCTTGCAGTCCACCATCAAGTCCAGTTTTTGTTATTTACATAAAAATCACCCACCGTGGATATCAGCAGTTTGGGTTCAGACCTCTTATCTGTCCTGCAATTGGGGTTGGGCTGAGTGTCGGTCTGTTCAGCACCCAATGCCTAGATCCTACATCTAAACCCATCTCACTCAAATAGGGTGGTAGAGTACTCAATATCCTACACACATTGCATAACTAACCTAATTGAGGGTCAATGTGTCTCACAATACACATTCACTTTAATAAATATATTCACTCTCAACATGCTAGGGACACAAAACTATCGTTACTATAATAAAACAACCCTGTTTCCTCCAAAACAGGAGACTTAGAAACTGGTCACAAGTTTGGCTCCAAGTGCTGTCAACAATCAGGTCATTTCAGAACCCAACGTCTCCCACTCAAACCCTCACTCTTAAATACATTCTTTCCTCTTTACATGCCATTCAGAGGAGAACAACACCACCACTTTATACTTACTATATAATTAACTTATATTGAGGTTAAGCTGTCATTGCCCCTCTCACACAACACATTCACGCCAATAAATACAGTCACTCTCAACATACACACTAGGAATACAAAACTATCATATATTCAATAAAACATCCTGGCTTTGAAAAATCCCTGTATAAAAAAAGAATCACCGACCCAGATTCAAAGTTCAAGCACAATTTTCAAATCAGGTGGCATTACTATGTGCTCTCTATATGGAGCCATGGAATTGCACCCTTTAATTAGGTGGGACACATCAAGGCTACCTTTTTTTAACATGCTAGATACTCAAGCTGTTACGCCCTGACGTTCACCTCCCGATTTTGGGACTTTGGGACTTCCGGTCAAAATCTTCGACGTTAGGGGGTCAGAATTTTTTTTAAAATTTAATTTAATTTTTTATTTTATAGTATATTTTATTTTTATTTTTTTATTTTTTTGTAAGGGGTACCTCTAACGTGGCAGGGACCATTGCCAACCTAGGAGAGAAGGACGGAAGCCTTGGAAGCCCAGAAGGGTTGGACACCTGGATCGGCAACTGAGACGGCGGAGGCCGGGCGAACACGGCGGCGGACTGGTGGGGGCGGAAGGCAGAAAGCAGGTGGAAGCAGGCAACGCGAGCGAACGGTGAGAGAGGAGACAAAAAAAAGGAGAAAAACCGGAGGAACGAGGGATATCCTTTTTCTTTAAGGAACAGGACTCGCCTCCGGGCAGGAGCTAGGAGGACAGACATCGAGACGAGGAGCTCCGGAGAAGTCCAACGTGTGGAAACAGTTAATTTTTTTTGTTTTTGTGTTTAAACCAATAGAAAGTTTTTTTTTATTTATTTCTTTTTTTAATAAACATCCTATTTATTTTAAATCATATTGAGTACAAGAAAACTCGGAAAAAAATATTAAAAAATAATAACATGTTATTCTAAATTGTAAATAAATGCATTGATTTCCACAAAATTGTGTACACAGACGAATACACACATATTACTTTTGATTCTAGCTATATATTTATATTTTTTTAGTATAAATTTTATTAACAGAAAAAGTTATTTTTAAATTGTACCACATGAAATGAAAATGAAAAAAATTTTGACCAATGATTATCACTAAAGTAGCAAAACCTTTGATTGGTACAAAGTAGAGAAGCATTTTTTTTTTTTTTTTTTTTGTAATTTACAATAGAGACCTTGTCCTCCTGATTTTTTCCCCTCATGTGAATTTGTAATCTTAAGCAAATTCAATGAGGGTAAAGTCCAAAATGTTAAAGGTGTGACTAGCGAAATGCTCAAGAGAACACAATTTGTTGAAATTTTTTTAGTACAAAAGAAAAAAAACTATCGCCACTTATTTCTCTCTCAATCTATTCTGCTGCCCCCTGCTGCTCCAGTGCGTGGATTTTTTTTCCTATGGATTCACTATTTTCCCTGGACCAAATAGTGTGGCGCCCAACTGTAGTATTGGTTCCCCGAGAATCCCCCCTTCTCCACTGAGCGTCAGTCCGCGAGTTGGAGATAACTAGGAAGTACTACCAAAGGTAACAAGGCTTTATCCCAAAAGTAAGTGTATCTCACATGGCCTATTTTTAAACGGATGAAGACGACCTGTTTTCTACCAGTCATGTACTCTGAGGGCCTACTTTTGACTCTGATCTAGCCCACCAACAGACTGATTTGCTTTTAATCATGATTTTTATTGCATTTTTAACGACAGGGGGCCAGATGGTTAAGTCAAAAGTTGAGACATCCCAGCCTTAGCTGCCTCGTCCTTTTTGTTGCCCTTGTAACCCAGATAACCCGTACAGAAACCACCATCCACCCATACAGATAACCTATACAATCTGAGAAGCTGAGATAGTACCTCTTCAACAAGAGCAATAACTGTGCTAAGAGAATAGGTGCAGGGTAGGTAAGCAGAGCCACCATCATCTTGAATCACCTCAAGCATGTCCAAATCACATATAATTACAATCATGAAGTACACGGTGCACATCATATCCTCATCAGTCAAAAAGGCATCATAGAAATATTACCTGTCTCGTCTTGCCTGATCATCCAAATACCCTTTGGTTCTCCTCTCAGCTTCTATAAATTCTGGTGTTAGCTTTACCTCTCGGAAAGTACAGACTGACACCGGCGTTCTTTAAGTAAGAGACATATTATTATTTTGATTATTACTTTGTCATTAAAATTATTTTACTACCTTATTCCAAATTGGTAAATAGGGAATGATTTTATAGGTTTGATACAAGCGTCGTACATTTTGTTCCTTAAAACTTTTGCTTTTTGAAATTCAAATTCATGCTTCTTCTTGAAATCGTCGATCTCTTGGTTGTACTTTTCTATGATTGCTTGATCAACATGGTGGTTGATGATGAATGTATCTTTTGACAACCGCTTTGACTCAGGTAGTTTCTTATTTCTGAAAAAATAAATAAATAAAATTATGTATTTATTTTAGGAATACACCAAACCCTGCCTTTCAATTAATTCTTCATATTTATCAGCGAGTTCATTGATTTTTTCTTTCATCTCCATCTTGATTGTTTCTGCCATTAATTTCTTCTTTTCCTCTCTTAATGTAGCTTTGTGCTCCTCAAGAGATGGCTCGTTGGGATTTATTATCCCAGATATACCGAAAGTCGGCTAAAAATGACAAAATTGAATATCCACACTGCACAAATTTAATCGAAAGAACTCACCAACTGTCCGATCCCTGGTAATTTTTTCTTTTCGACTTTCTGCTCAATCGGGAGGTTGAAGACGTAGGAGAATATCCCACCGTCAGTTCCACAAGAGTATGCAACCGAGTTGTCACAAGAGACAGCGAGATGTGTTATTCTGTGCCCGGTCGTCACATGCATTCCAATCTCTAAATAATCCGACAAGTTGGCCAGGTCAGATTGGTGTGCTTTGACCAAACGAATGCAACCGTTGCTCATACCCATTAATAAATACCTGTTATTAAGTCTGTTAACAAGAATTTTACCATTTGACCCTGCTACCCTTTATATCTGTTATAATATATTTAAATTATTACATGCTGATACAAGTTTGTATAGCGGTTGTGCGGTCTGTCCCTGGAATATCGAGTACACGGTTCGGCCATGTTTCACCAATCTTATATTCATAAAAAAAACCTCCATCGTATCCATCTGGCGATATCCATATATATTTATCTACATATCTATATGAAAGGTAAGATTTAAAAACATAGCAATTTAACAATTATTCTATTTTATTTATTTATTTTTAGTTTGATTCTGATTATTTTTTAGTCTGTCAGAGGTATTTTGCTGTTATATTCTGATGCCTCACCCTGCTTATATCCTTAATCCAGGATGATCAGAAAAAATGCAAACACCAAGAGGGAATTTCACAAAACAATTATCAATAAAGAGTAATAATTCAATAATATAAACAAATAGAATACAAACTTTGCAAAATTAATTCGAGTATTTCCCACAGGTACAAAGATGGCTGGCAAATCTTCGTATTTTTCAGTATCAGCTATAAAAACAAAAGATTAATTTAATAAGTTTTCAAAAAAAAAAAAATATATATTTTGTACCTAGGAATGCTTCTTGGTCAATAGCAAAGCCTGGATTTGCTTCAAGAAGTTTTGCTAGTTCTTCCTTTCTCTTTTCCAGTTTTTCATCTTGCCTTTTCTTTATTCCTTCCCGTACGAGATTCCTTAAAATACAACCTTTAACACTTCTGAAAAAAGTCGTTTTGTATTTGATTTTCAGTTGGTACGTGTCCCTTTCTCTAGTGTCGTGAAGTATTTTATCAGGAACTTGAACTTCAGACACTGTCCCGACAGACGTGCTTACGAGGAAAATGAACACATTCTGAAGAGTATTTAAGCTATTACAACCAGTAAAAAAGCACTAGAGAATGATTACCTTAGCTCTTTTCAACTCAATATGAGTGACTGGACCCGGCATTTTTACAAAACCCAACGGCATCAACTGGCAAAAATTATAATAAGGAAGGACTTTATAAATAAACACATTGCCATCAACACTGCCAGAAAGGACATGATGGTGGCCATATTTTGTTTTCGAGACCAAACATGAAATTGATCTTTTATGAGGTTTGAGAGCCTGAAAAATTGAAAAACCTTCATTGATTTTGTAATAATTGAAAGAAATGTCTGTTTAACAATTGAATCAAATAAACTTTAACAATGTCATAATTTTTTTATCTATTGTTTATTTAGTCTTGAAGCAAAAATAATGTTTACCTGTATGACATGAATGTATTCCATAATTTTTTCTTCAACGTTAAATTCTTTTGCCTTGATACATATGACAATGACTCTTATCGTTCCATCAGCGAATCCAAGTATAAGCACACTCGCAGTTGGATCAATCTATTGATATGTTTAATTGTAAAAAAAATTGACAGTAAACTTTTTTTTAAATCCTCTCACCTCTAATGGCAGCCAAAGCAGAGCTGTTCCTTTGAGTGAGAAAGTTTTGGAAAATACGATCTTCCTTTTTTCATTGTTGTGGATAAGCAGTTTGCCGTCGATTCCCAATGTGGCTAGATAATGGCCTACGGGGGAGGTCGCTAAACCGACGATCGGTCCAGCGTGCGTTTCCAGAATTTTGGACCAGGGATCTGCATTGGCACTCAACGATAAATCAATCATCCAAATCCCACCTTTTTTGTCCTTAAAAAAAAAAAAAAAAAAATCAACAATAGCCTTTAACATCCACAGGTTTTAATACCTGTAAGAAAAAATGGTGGATATCTTCAACGCCAACCCTTGGTAGAAGTTGAACCGGGCAAGCGGTTTTTCCGTCAGCATCTATTATTTCTCTTTCGAACGAAGGTTGCATTTGAAACGGCTTGTTATTTGGAGGCCACGCGTTCAACATTTTTTCATAATCCCAAACTCGTATTTTACCATCCATGCCTGTAAATAAATATTCAAATGAAAATGAAATAATAAGAACATTGTTACAGCGTTATTTACCTGCTGTAAAGACATGATTTTCTTTCGGGTCGTAGTGGAAAAAAGTTATTATCCCATCATGTGCCGGTTGCATTTCCCTTCTCGATATTTCAAATTTTACAGTCGTGCCGTCCCAGAAGAACATATTGCCCCAAGGGCAATTTGAAAAAGCCTGGAACAAACGTCACTTAAAATATTTTAAACGGTCTTACTTAAATTCTTCAAAAGATCAAAAGATTTTTTTGAAACTTTTTAATGAGTGTTTATTGAATCTGTCTTATAAGATGTAAATATGATAAAACTATTTTTTTTTTTTAATTTAGGGTTTTATAGTGGCATTAACAACCTTATTGTCCTTGTTTATTATGAACGTGGAAATATCGCAGATGTCTGCAGGGCCAAATTTACCATAAGCACCTTTTATTTTCATTCCTGTGAATGTAGTTTCTATTTTCCAGAACTTCAGATGATTCAGACCTGGAAAATAAATAGCTTAAATTAAATTTATAATTTAAATATTTGTCTTTGAACTTACCACAACAGAGGAGAATACTATTTTCCAACGGGGAAAATGCTGTTTTATAAACCCGTTGATTATTCGCTTTGACACTAAGGTAAACCTGTTGTTCTTTCCATTTCCATATTGTAAGTAGATAGTCAGGCTCGCTCGACTGTGATACCATAAGTTCACCACAGGCGCTGTAATTTAGATCAATTTAAGTCGTACAAATTTATTATAAACATGTTTTACCTGAAATCTAGGCCAGCAAAGGAATGTTTAGCTCCTCCTCTGAGTACAGATATTATACAAAAATCTGGCCAAGTGTAGCACACGATATCTGGAAAGTTTCCCTTTTCTGCGACTGCTATCTCATAGCTGACTGGGTTTTTCTATAAGAAAAATGTGTAAATCCTAAGAAAAAAAAAAAATTGTCGGAATTCCTTACAGCTATAAAAGATATTCCATCTTTGCCAGAAGACCTTCTAAACGACATTTCTTTTGTATAAGGGTTCAACATGTGGATTATATGTCCGCAATGGTACAAAAGCGTCTTTTTATCAGCGACACAAAGATTGAGACCGTTCACACAGTCATAACTGTAAGAGTGTCTTTACACCATTAAGGAGAAGAATTTAATTGTTTTATTAAAAAACTGCTAATACATTTTTTCTCTCAGCAAATTTTCAAATAATATATCTGTTCAATTTCACTACTTTAACATTGAGTACAATTAAAAATTTGATTGCTCTTTAAAATCCAAAAAATTCTAATATAATTTTGCCTTATTAAAAAAAATTATAAAGAGTAGTTTAATCAGAAAATATGCTATTTGTTTTACAAATTTGTTTTGTGTCGGAATCTCTGAGACCTTTTTCAAAATTGTTTCAACTGCTTGACAACCTTATTCCCAAATGGCGTAAGAAAAAAAGGAGAATTGAACTGCTTGTTTAGTTGAGAATTTGTTCAACATGCAATTTTAAACATGAATTTAATTTCATTAAAGGTGGCCAGTGTGGGCTGAAGGAAGTCACTTAAACGGCCCAGAAGTACTGTTTCTTTGCCAGTGCTTAATTTAATAGGGAAGAGGTGTTCATCATTTTTAAAAAAATTCTAAGCTCCTGGCATTTCTGAAGATTTCTGCTGTATTTATGTCGAGTAGTTTTCACACTTTTGGTTCTTTTCTCCCTTTAGGGACACATATATCACCCGGAAATAGGCGATTTCTGTTTCAGAACGTTTTCCTTAAAGGGATCATTATTGTTAATAATAAAATTTGTTTTATCACAAATCCCACTACTCAAAACAATCCTGTTTCATTAAGACCTCCATGTAAAACGAACACCCAAAGCATTTTACGATGTCTCTTCCATGCTTCATGCTGGAAATCTGATTGAAAAAGTTTCTGGCTCATGTTACAAAAAGATCTGGGAAAATAGGCTGAACGAACAGAATGAACAATAAACTGAAAGAAATTAAAGAGAGCTTAAAACATGGCGAATATCCCATAAGGAGGAAACAGTCTTGGCATGACTAAGAATAGGACAATGTAGGCTTACTCATTTATTCAAGGAAGTTCCTTCGATCCAAAGCTGTCATGAACTGCTAACAGTTACATCCTAACTGAAATTTTTCAATTTGAGCTGGAGAGCCATTTGCGGTGTATTTTTTGGTTTAAATCGGGTTGCAGAATAAAGAACGCCACTTAAATAAAGGTGGTGGTTGACGATGACGGCGACTTGAAGGATATGGCGTTACTGACAAATCCCAAGCCATCTGTGATCGTTTTGTTCAATATGTAAATTGTTTAAGTTTGGAGGAATGCCTTATTGTCGCCCTGCATTTAAGGCAGATTATGACTCATAAAAAATATAAAACCCGCCTTTAGTTTATGTGTGCTAAAAAAAAAAATCATAGAAGAAGACAAATGCCCATAAACGCATAAAATTATGGTGAACTCTTGAAAGACAGTAAATTAATAGATGACTAAATGTACAAAGTTTATTATAATTAAATGTAGAATAAGCTAAAAAAAAGATTTCAGAATTTATCTAATTAAATAAAATAGAGCTTAGCTTAGCGGTTTACTATTCTATTAATTTCAGTACTGAATAAGTTTCCTAATGAATAATTTTGATTGATTGAAACTACTTTTTAATTTAAAAAATTGTTTTAAAAACGCTCCATGTGATAAACACATTTGAGCAAAAAAAAAAAAAAAAAACAATTGAGAAAATTTCTATAATGAATCAAAATTTAAAATTATTTAAATGTTTTCTAACATTAAATTATTTTTAAAAAAAGGATACTGAAGTTCCAATGAATCAAGTTGCATAATTTTTCCGTTCACTTTTGGCTTATAAATGAAATCATCCAGATTTTGAAGATGTCGTTCTTCATCGTAAAACTCATTTTTCTTTCCGTCCTTTCTTAGATGGCCCTTTTTGCCAGGCGTCAGGGTTTTGCTACTTGAATTTAATGGTTCTGAAGTGCTGCCGGCCGACATGACTTCCAATTCCTCTGCCTCTTGTTCTCCTTCAGTCGACTGGGCACTTTTACTGGATACGCTTCGTTGCGGTGAAAAGAAGTCGTAATTAGCATAGTGGTCGTCGTAGTCCTGCATAGCGTCCAGCATCGTCTGCGGTTTCGGGTTAGAAGGCTTTGACGGCTCGGACTTGTTCCCTTCTTGGCTTTCATTTTGCAATATGGCCTCTCCTGGCTTGGCATCATCATCATCATCGTCTCTCTCCGGGGTGAATTCCATCTCAGACATTGGAAAGTTTTAAGAAGATGCTATGAAATTCAAAATGCTTGGATGTGAACTAAAATTGAAAATCTGGAACTTGATCTTCAGCAACTGCTAACAAATTCAATGGATTCTGAGGATTTTTTTTTTCCTACGTACTACCTTAGCCTATTAAAAATGTTTTTGTTAAAACTAAATGTAAAAAAGCTACAATAAACTATCTCCTATTTTAACATATGTCTGATTAATAATTACAAATGTTTTGCACTGACAGGATTTCTGGTTCTATGGGAAATTATTATACTGAAAATTTCTTGAAAATTAGCAATAATGGTCTATATTTATTACAGGAAATTTAAGGATAAGCAGTTATATATGTAGTTTTCAATTGATATAACATAAATTGATGTGTAGGTCAATGAATAAACAATTTATTTAATAAAATCAAGCTTAAAAAAAAAATAAATAAAACTTGTGAAGCCTTTGAATTACTTAAACTACATATAAATAATTTTTAAAAAGGAAGAATAAACAAAAAGGAAGAAAATGTATTCAATTTTCTTTGTCAATACACCTGTTCAGAATATATTTACAAAAAAAAAACTTTTATCTTTTAAATATGTTTTTGCTGCTAAACATTGTGATAGTTTGCCACCGGCACATTATTGTAACAAATAGTATTTTGTCAATTTGTTTTAACCATGCCAACTATGCAAATATGATATACTGAACATATATTTCATAAAATATATCGACTTCAAAAAAACAGTAAGTTTACAATTTTAAAATGATAAAGTTTAGTATTTGGTCAAGTAGAATGTTTCAATTTTAAGTTTTTCTGTTAATCTTATCGGTTGTCTTTATGATCTTACATTTTCACATATAAACCGATAGTCAAATGTATGTTTTCTCTTTAGTATATTATGCAGGCCCAACTGAAGAAAAGGTTGAGAATGGTGTTGCGCCGTTTGGCAAATTTAAATGAAGGTAAATTCGTAAAAAAATGAAACAAATCCGAATTTTATTGATAACAATTTGCTTTAATAAGCGCACCAGAAGGCTCAAGAAATGAACAACGAGCTCATTAATAAAGTAGTCGAATCGGAATTGGCGCTTTCAAAAGCCAAGAGCGAAAATTTCATGCTTACAAAAAAAACATTAGATTTAATGTTTACACTGAGCCTGAACATATCCGAGAACAATAAGCTCAAGCAGTTACTCCAAAAACTCGACGTGGATACAAACAAAGCTCTCACCACGGTCGGAGAAATTTCTAGCGTACTACTAAATACCAAACATTGTTTAACGGACAACCAGAATTTATTCAAAAAGTCTGGTAAAACTATCAGTCCTTTTGGTTTATTTTCATTTAAAAATAAAATATTATCATTCATTTATTAGGAGAGATTTCGTTAAAAGAAAATTCAAGAAATAGTGGCAATACACCGACAAACATTTCAAGTAAGGAGAACATTAAAAATTAAAAGACGATTTTACTTAATAATAAATTACAGATAAATTTAAAAAGTCTGAAAGCCAGACCATGAACTCAGTAGCGACTATTAAGTCATTAAAGAGAAATTCTCAAGAACTTTATGCAAGAAAGAAAAGTAAGACTGTCAAAAACACACCCTTCTAATTTATGTTCAATTTATGTTAATCATACATTTTTAGATGATCGTGAATTTAAAATTTATTGTGGGATAGAGGATAATCTCAGTCCTATTACTGAAATTATATCACCCCAAGTACTAAGCGAGGTATAAATTTGGACATCTTAAAAAATTTATTTCTTATTATTCTGGTCTGTTCTCAGTTTCATTTGACTGTAACATTTCACCATAGAACAGGATGTTTATCTCACAAAGTTTTGAATTTTGTTAATTTTCTTTTCTAGATTCGGTATAGAAGGACTCTCGGTAGAAGATTCTTAGGTAAAAATTACAGATAAATTAACTTGTGAAAAATCTTAAAAGTTAGTCTTGTTTCAAATCTAGATCTTGAAAGCCGAAAGGATAAAGAAAATAAAAATAACTCTTTCAATCAAGTTCAAACACTTGCGGTAAGTTGTGCCCACTGCTTAATAACAGCAGTATAGTATAATTTTTAATTTAATGTCGATAACAGCAGTCCGAACTAGACGATAATGAGAAAATTAGAAAATCATCAACATCGTCGAACAATGAGAATTCGTCTAAAAGCCAAAGTAGTAACAGCAGCAATCAATCAATTGACAATACGCCAAAGAAAAAGAGAACGAGTTACTCGAAAAATTCAAACACTTCTAAACAGAGGTCTATTTCTGCCAAATTGTCCTGCACCAGTGAGCTGGGTGTCGAACAGAACAATTTAAAATTACAAAGGAAAGAAGCGTCTACAACATTTGAAGAAGTGACAGAAACCCAAAGTAAAAGGTTATTTATTTCACTAATATAGTTCAAATTAAAAATAAACAAAATACTAGAGCTTTAGTCCTTTAAATTAGAACCAGGAGGAGAAGGGTACAAACTGGATCTACAAAAGAGTAAGTTTTGCACAGTACATATCTATATAGTCTTATGTTAATTATTTTTTTTACTTTTTTAGCTGCCAATCGAAGAAAAGAAGAAGTATAACTGATGAGAGGTTGTAAGTACTGCTAACTCCAAAATTTGATAGAAATTAAATAAGTATAGTAATTAATAAAAAATTGATTAATTTCTTGCATTTTTAGTATCCATCTTCATACATTTTTCTTATATACAAGGTGGCCCCAATTGATTCAGCCACACTTCCAGATCTTATAGGAAATTGAACGCTGAGTAAAAAAGGTCCTATGAACCTGTGCCCCTAAACCCTTAAATTCCAAGCTACAGGCAAAAACCATGAAAAACCACGTTTTTTGACCTTATTCGTGAAATTGTTAGTAAACCGTTAGCCTGATCGTAAAACAGCTCGAAACAACATCTGTAGAGGATTAATTTCTGCGTCGAATGAGATTAAAACCAGCCTGATCGGCCAAAAATTTCATTCAAATTCAACTCCAAACTCCGCTCACTATCGCACTGGCAATGCAGAAAATTGTCGCTATTTTTCGCTCAAGCTATTGTAATTCTTTTTTACAATAAATAAAATGTAATGTTCATTAAAAGATGTGTGAACTTTCTAAAATTGTTACGTAAGCCGTTCAGATTTTTCATACATTATTCAGTAGGGGGTACCCATCAGAAAACAGTAACATTCAATTTGGGTGAAAAGCAGTAAATTAGACAAAATTCGAATGTTTCATGAATCAGACTGAGGTTGGTCTAATGTGACGGAGAATTTGATCACCAACAAACGAGGTTTGTAACGGAGAATTTTTTGATAGGGTGTTCAACTTGTGAATTTTCGATAAAAATGTCAGAAATGGTGAATTTTGTGTACCCTTTCACCTCGTAACTTCGAAAAAATCACCAAAAATGCAATTTTTGGCCGATCAGGCTGGTTTTAATCTCATTCGACGCAGAAATTAATCCTCTATGTTGTTTCGAGCTGTTTTACGGCTAACAATTTCACGAATAAGGTCAAAAAATGTGGTTTTTCATGGTATTTTGCCTGTAGCTCGAAACTGAAGGGTTTGCGGACACAGGTTCATAGGACTTTTTTACTCAGCGTTCAATTTCCTATAAGATCTGGAAGTGTGGCTGAATCGATTGGGGCCACCCTGTATAACTATAAATGATTAATTTGTAACAATCCTGATTTACATGTTAAATGACAGCCACAAAACTTAAAGATTAAATATAAGAAACACATATCTTAAGTATAATGAGGATCTTAATTTAAAATGTATGGATTTAATTGTTAGGTATAATTTTCACCATGTAGAAAATTTTGTAGGCAAAAAATCCATCACATCAAATTTCATTTTTCAGGTCGGAAAGCAACCTTTATTCTTTCAACAAAGAGAAAGAAAACAGAGGTACTTTTATTTTCACAGTAAATAATTCACTTTTATTGTTATTGCCTTCTTAATTGACTGTTTCAATTTAAAAGGGAGCGGTTCGAGGAGGTCACAGAGGACAAAAACGAAAGTTACATACAACGAATATTTCCTGTAACAAAAAAGTAAATTATCCATAGCTCGCTTATATTTTCTGTCTTTAATAATTTTTACTATTTATTCCACCTAATTTTAAATCGCTCATCAAACAGAAATAACAGAAGAAAGAAAAAGAAAATCATGTTGGCAAAAATTCTTTGTTCTCAAAACAATGGTAGTCCATTTCAAGAAGTTGAAAGGAAAAATTGTGTAAAACAGGTATTGATTTATTTATTTTAAAATAAAACATTCTGTTTTATTTATCTGCATACCATTCATTTATTAAATTAACATTTAAACTTTTTTTCAGGCATAAATCTTTATTTTTAGGAATGGGGACATGCATTTGCATTAGATTTTTAAGGTGTGTACAAATATGTATCTTTGCTTTTCACTAAATATACAGCATTTAATGACAAACATTTTGTAATTGTTTTGAAATGATTACCGATTTATATAACCTTGAATCATTTACATATACACACACGTGTAAGAGTTGAGCCTATCACTTCTTGCAATCTACCGGCAATTCCAGCTTTTGTACTTTTCCATGAATTTACCAACAGGCCGAAAGAATCACTCATCCCAGGTGTTGGCAGTTCGGGGTCAGATCTCTGTCTTATCCATCCAGCCACCGTTGGGCTCCAGAGGTTAATAAAAACTAGGTCATTTTAGCTGCCAATGCAAATAAATCCAAACCCATTCACACTCTCACTCACTTTTAAACATTCTTTCCTATTTAAGTATTCACTCAGTTAAGGTAGTGGAGTACTCAATATTTCTCCATCACTCTTTACACATACTACATAACCTATATGAGGTTTGATAGGTACTCGATGTTCCGTCATCAACCCTCCCACACATTCATGCCAATAAATACATTCACTCTCACACGCTAGGGACACAAAACTATCATTACTACAATAAAACAATCCTGTTTCCTCCAAGAATCAGAACATAGCCCCTAGATACTTGCTGCCATAGCCTAGCACAATTCTTGTAACACATGGCATTCCTACACGATCTTTATATAGAGCCAAGGAATTGCATCCTTTACTTTGGTGGGGCTTATTGAGCTACCTTTACATGCTGGACACACACATGGGCTTTGAGGCCCAAAAGTCCATGTAACCAACTTGCATGACCTATCGTTAATCGCGTGAGGATGATTCATCAAATTACTGGTTGCACCCAGATCAAGGTAAACATTCCATAGATAAGTGATGAAAGTAGCATATAGACCTGTAAGCTTGTCCATGATGATGATGATGATCGTAAAGGGTACTTGAAGCAAAATAAAAAGGACATAATTAACTATTTGTAGTAAAATACTGCTATTAAACAGTGCGATTAAGAACTGAAAGATTTTTTCCTGGACACATGACATTTCAGCTCAAAAATGCATATTTATGGATAAAGAAAGAGGAAAAAATTTACCTAAAACATCTATGCACCAAGTAGACAGTTCCAAGCTTGTCAGTAATGATAAAGAGCTAAATATAAACAACATATCGTACAAAATAGTAAATAATACAGTAAGAACCAAAGAAATTGATAATTTCCAAGACAAATGAGGGTGATAAAGTGTACTTAAAGTAAAATAAAAAGGTATAGTTAACTATTTGTAGTACAATATTGCTATTAAACAATGTGATGAGGAAATGAAAAACATCTTCGATGTATGCATTAATTTCAGCTCAAATAGCATATTTATGGATAAAGAAAGTCAGGACATTGCCCATAATAACAATAAAAAAAAAAAAAAAAATTACTCAAGAAGTAATTCTTTCTGAGTATGGTGGTAATGATAAAGGGTATTCATAGCAAATACCTATTATGATAAATGACAAAATAAATGCATGTTATAGAAAATAGTATAAAACTAGAATAGAACTCAATCAACAAGCATGTTGAGAGTACGACTTCTATAGAAAAGTTATGAAAGTGAAAATATTTATCAAGTAGATCATTATGTAGGTTTAGCCCGTTTGGGTGATGAGTTAAAAAAAATAAATAAGTTTACAATTGTTGGTTTTTAATATTTATTAACAAGTTGACAATGCAATTTTGCCCACGATGATGATTCAAAGCCTCTTGTGGACAACAAAGAGCAGAATATGTGCAACATGTCATACAAAATAGTAGTACACAATTTGTAATTTATGGATAAAGAAAGAGGAAAAAATTAAAGTTAAAACATATATGCACCACATGAAATTCCAGGTCTGTCAATGATGATAAAGGGCTAAATATGAACAATATAGGTATGTACACAATGGTAAAATATGTGCATACATGCCAAAGAAAATAGTATTACATTATAAAAAATGATAAATGCTCAAGAATTAAACATCTCTAAATCTGATGATGTCGGTAAAGGGATTCATAGCAAATATCTATTATAATAAAATGCAAAATATGTGCATACGTCATGGTAAATAGTATAAGACTAGAATAGAACTCAATCAAGCAGCACATTATTTTTATACAGATCAGGTGTTGCTTATTACGACAGATAAATGTTGAGAGTATGACTTCTATAGAAAAGTTATGAAAGTTAAAGTATTCAGCATGAAGACCTGTAATTTTAAGCCATACGGGTGATCAGTAAAAAAAGAAAATTCTTGATCATTGGATTTTAATATTTTTTACTCTCAGTAATGATAAAGAGCAGAATATGTTCAACATGTCATAAAATATAGTAGTACATAATAAAAATTAAAAATACTCAAAAAAACATGCTGCAAGTTTAGCCCATATAGGTGATGAGTTAAAAAAAAAAATTAAATTCATAATCATTGGTTTTTAATATTTTTCAAGTTGAGAATACAAATTTGTCCATGATGATTCGAAACCTCTCAGAATGATAAAGAGCAGAATATGTGCAACATGTCTTAAAATATACTAGTACATAATAAAAATTAAAAATACTCAAAAAAACATGCTGCAAGTTTAGCCCATATAGGTGATGAGTTTAAAAAAAAAAATTAAATTCATAATCATTGGTTTTAAATATTTTTCAAGTTGAGAATACAAGTTTGTCCATGATGATTCGAAACCTCTCAGAATGATAAAGAGCAGAATATGTGCAACATGTCATAAAATATAGTAGTACATAATAAAAAATACTCAAGAAATAAACATTTCGGAGTGTTGATGATAATAAAGGAATTCGAAGCAAATATCTATTATTAACTTATTTAATTTAAAAATAAAATAACAGGCAAGAGTTCACATTAGAAGAGGATGAACAAATAATCTGGCCGTTCACCCATTTCCTGGTTACAACGAATTGAATCAGTGTATAATAAACAGAAAATAGAAAGCAAAAAAATCTGTTTTAATAAAGAAATAATTCGAAATGAAAAATGTTCGAGCCAAAAGTTATAGCGCCACTGTCAAGCAGAAGAAAATCGGGCCATTTCCCAAAGGGGCAGCTCATCAGAGTTGCTTGTGACTGTGTTACACCCGTATTATCACCATCATCATTCATCATATGGACATCGGGAAAACAAGGGATTTGAGGAAAATGTCGAAAGGGAAACGCAGCGGAGGAGGCCGACCGACGGATCGATAAAAAGCCCTGGAGAAGGAATCGCTCCGAATATGCGTCCTCGGATCGTCTGAGAAATGTCTCTGTTTGTCAAAGACCCCTGCGGGCTCATCTGCATCGCCCTGACATACGTCGCCGTCTTTTATGCTGACTATGTCGTCGTCCGGTGGATCGTCATGCAGACGATGCAGGACAGGTGAGTCAGTTCTATGCCCTTTAATCATCATCATCATCATCATGGACAAGCTTGCGTTGTCAACTTGTTGATAAATATTAAAAACCAACAATTGTGAACTTAATTTTTTTTTAAACTCATCACCCATATGGGCTAAACTTACAGGTCTTCATGCTGAATATTTTCACTTTCATATTATTTTACTATTTATTATTACTACTATATTACTACTATTACTTTTACTACTATACTACTATTACTACTTTTTTATGACATGTATGGACATATTTTGTCTGGCTTCTGTTTTTACTTTATCCATAAATATGTTATTTGAGCTAATGTGTACATGGAAATTTTTTTTCATTTTTCATCGCACTGTTTAATAGCAATATTGTACTCCAAATTGCAAACTACACCTTTTTATTTTACTCTGATACCCTTTACCATCATCATCATCATCATCACGGGCAAGCTTGTACTGTCAACTTGTTGAAAGATGATAATCATTTTTTTTAAAACTCATCACCCATATGGCATAACTTACAGGCCTTCATGCTGAATACTTTCACTTTCATTATTTTTATACGGAAGTTTTACTCTCAGTGATTTATATCGCACTAAAAAACACCTAATCTCTACAATAATAATGTTGGTTGATCCAATTCTATTTTATTTTTGTACTATTTTCTATGACATGTAAGCACATATTTTGTCATTTATCATAAGTATTTGCTATGAATATGCTTTATCACCATCATCAGAATCAGAAATGTTTTTTTCTTGAGTATTTTTTATATGTGCTATTATATTTTATGACATGTTGCACATATTCTGCTTTTTATCATTACTGAGTGGTTTCAAATCATCATCAAGAGCAAGGATGCATTGTCCACTTGTTGAAAAATATTAAAAACTAACGTCTGTGAAGTTGATTTTTCTTTTACCGATCACCCTATGGGCTAAACTGACAGGTCTTTATGCTGAATACTTTTATTTTCGTAACTTTTCTATGGAAGTTGTACTTATGATGTTTATCTAGGGGAACCGCACATATTTTACCATTTATGCTATATTGTTCATATTTAGCCCTTTATCATCATTGACAGACTTGGAATTGTCCACGTGGTGCATAGATGTTTTAACAAAATTTTTTTCTCTTTCTTTATCCATAAATTACATATTGTGTACTACTATTTTCTATGACATGTTGCACATATTCTGCTCTTTGTTGTCCACAAGAACCTTTGAATCATCATCGTGGGCAAAATTGCATTGTCAACTATTAAAAACCAATAATTCTGGGCTTAAATTCTTTTAAACTCATTGAAGTTGTACTCTCAGTGTTTTATATCGTAATAAAAAAACACCTAATCTGTACAATAATAATGCGTTGATTGTACAAATGTAATTCTAGTTTTATACTATTTTCTATGACATGTATGCACATATTTTGTCATTTATCATAATAAGTATTTGCTATGAATATGCTTTATCATCATCATCAGAATCGGAAATGTTTTTTTCTTGAGTATGTTTTATTATGTTGAACATATTCTGCTCCTTGTCATTACTGAAAGGCTTCAAATCATCATCATCATGTACAAACTTGCATTATCAACTTGAAAAATATTAAAACCCAATGTTGATCTTTTTTTAACACCCTATGGACTAAATTTGCAGGTCGAAATGATTGTTTTTTGAATATTTTTTTTATGACATGTTGCACATATTTTGCCCTTTATCATTACCAAGAGGCTTCAAATAATCATCATGGGCAAGGTTGCATTGTCAACTTGCTGATAAATATTAAAAACCAACAATTCTGAACTTAATTTTTTTTAAACTCATTGTTTACTCTCAATGTTTTATACCGTAATAAAAAAAGCACCTAATCTGTTCAATAATAAAACGCTGGTTGATCAAATACTATTTTCTATGACATGTATGCACAGATTTAGTCATTTATCATAATAAATATTTGTTTCAAATCCCTTTATCATCATCATCAGACTCGGAAATGTTTTTTTCTTGAGTATTTTTTATTATGTACTATTATATTTTATGACATGTTGCACATATTCTGTTCTTTATCATCACCAAATGGCTTCAAATCATCATCGTGGACAAGGTTGCATTGTCAACTTGTTGAAAAATATTAAAAACCAACGTTTGCGAATTTAATTTTTTTTGCCGATCACCATATGGGCTAAACTTACAGGTCTTTATGCTGAATACTTTTATTTTCGTAACTTTTCTATGGAAGTTGTACTTACGATGTTTATCTAGGGGAACCGCGGTAGCCGAGGATTGGTCGATAGACTCTTGGCTTGTAGACCCCGCGGTTGTGGGTTCGATTTCTACCTCGCCTCTGGCCTTTTTTTCACGACACCCCCCTGCATACGCATAAAAAAAGTTTACCGTAATAAAAAACCTAATCTGTACAATATTAATGGTTGTTCAAGTATTATACTAGTTTATACTTTATCCTATGAAATATATGCATATATTTTGTCATTTATCGTAATAGATATATGCTGCGAATACCCTTTATCATTATCGTCAGGCTTGGATGTTTACTTCTTGAGTTTATTTTATTTTTATTTATTTTTAATATGAGCTATTATTTTGTACATGTCACAGATTTATTATCATTGACAGGACTTGAACTGTCCACTTGATGTGTAGATATTTTGGCTTGTGTTCTTACTCATATTTTATCTATAAATATGCTATCTGAGCTGTTATGTAATGTGTAAATGGAAAAAATCTTTCATTTCTTCATCAAAGTGTTTAGTAGCAATATTGTACTCCAAATTGCAAACTACACCCTTTCTATTTCACTTTGAATATCATCATCATGGACAAACTTGCATTCTCAACTTGTTGAAAAAGATGAAAAACCAATGATAAATCATTTTTTTTAAACTCATCACCCAAATGGCATACACTTACAGATCATCATGCTGAATGATATAATATAGAATAATCTTCTTCACACGATTAAGAACTTTCATAACTTTTCTATAGAAGTCATACTAACGTTTAGCTATTGTAATAAGCAACACCTAATCTCTACAATATTAATGTGCTGGTTGATTTCTATACTAGTTTTATCTTGTTTTCTATGACATATATGCACATATTTTGTCATTTATCATAATAGATATTTGTTTTCAACCCCTTTATCATCATCCTCGAAAACGTTTACTTCTGAGTATTTTTTATTTTCTATTATGGGCTATTATTTGGTATGACATAATGCACATATCCTGCTCTTTGTCATCATTGATCGGCCTGGAATCATCATGGACAAGCTTGCATTGTCAACTTTTTGAAAAATATTAAAAACCAACAGAGATATAATATCGAAGAATAATCTTCTTCGCATGATTAAGAATAGGCCATGCGGGTTGACAAACTGACAGTTCTGAGCCTGGATATGTGTCCGCCAGGCAGAGAAAGGTCACTCGATGTCTTACCTACCTAATTGAAAGGTGCAATCCATTAGTTCTATATAGAGAGCGTGTAGGTATGCCGCTGCGTTTCGGGATCGTGCTTGAGCATGACAGCAAATATTTAAGTTCCCTGTCAGATTTTTAGAGGAAACAGTGTTGTTTTATTGTGTATAACGCCGATAGTTTTGTATCCCTAGGGTATGTCGAGAATGAATGTATTTATTAGAGTAAATGTATAGTGAGAGTACCCAATTGACCCTCAATTTGGTTAGTTATATAATAGGTGTAAAGGGAGATATACTTCTTGAGTATATTTTTTAATTTTTATTATGGGCTATTGTTTTGGCTGAATACAAAAATAAAATAAAAAAAGGAAATAAAGAAAAAAACTTAAGTGGACTGTACAAAGAAAAAAAGGAATCACTATTTGAAGGGTCTTAGCTAGGTTGGGGCCCCGTTGCAACGCTGTAAACGACCTACGGTTCAGGAAGTGAAGGATAGGATGGGAAGGAAAATTTAAGGGGAATATGAGAGGTGCTCACAGGAGAGGTTTTTTAATAAAGAGGAGAGAGGTGAGCCGAGAAGAGGTTTTCGTTCACGGTAGATTCGCACTGGGAAACAGAGAAATCAGAACTGGGAAAAAGGATGAAGGGAGAGGTTTAGGAGAGGACTCAAAGGATCTCTATTTTGCTCTGGCCAAAACAGCTATTATTTTGTATGACATGTTGCACATATTCTGCCATTTATCTTCGCCGACAGGGGCTTGGAGCTGTCCCCTTGAGCTGAAATGTAGTGTGGAATTTTTTTTTAAATTTCTTCATTGCCCTGTTTATAGCAATATTGCACTACAAATAGTTAACTATGTCCTTTTTATTTTGCTTCAAGTACACTTTATTATCGTCATCAGACTTGGAAATGTCAATTTCTTTGGTCCTTATTTTATTATTTACTATTTTGTACGATATGCTGTTCACATTTAGCCCTTTATCATCACAGACAGGCTTGGAACTGTCCGCTTGTGGTGCATAAATGTTTTAGCTAATTTTTTTCCCCTTTCTTTATCCATAAAACTCCATTTGTGAGCTGAAATGTCACGTTGCGATCTTTCTTGGGCTTTGGCCTGTAACCGTACGTCATCCTTGCATGACCTATTCTTAATTGGGGGAGGATGATCACTCTTCTACAAGTTAGATCATCTGAGGGCTACTTATCTGTCAAGACTAAAATTACATTATTATGGGTGGTTTTTTTTGTGTGTTTTAATAGGAAGGAACATTATTTTTCTTCTATGTAAGAGGGAACGAGGTTTTTAGTGGTCTTGAACTCAGTTAAAATTAGTTCGGAAAAAATTTGTTAAAAATGTGTTTTTTGTTTTTTTACAATGTTACTAGATTTCAATTATTTAATTAGTTATCTGTTTATTATTAATACACTACAATTAATTAAGGTTTTTAATTGAGATAAAAATGTCAATGGCACGAGCGGGATTCGAACCCATGATCTTCGGCTAGATTCGCCGCTGCTCTACCACTTGAGCTATCGTGACCTCGATCCACTCGGACACCAACTTCCTATCTCAACCCCACCTTTTGAATTTTCCCTTCTTTTTGCCATTTTTCAAATGTCGTGTAATCGGGTTGGATTCTCGACGACAAATGAAATGGCCATGGAGAGCTTTTTTTTGGACTTTTTTATCTCAACTAAAAACCTTAATTAATTGTCATAAAAATTGTAAATAATAATTAATACCAACAGTTACTGGATTTCGTTCGTATTAGTTTTAAGTCACAATTTGAATAATACAAATGAATAATTGTTTATAATAATCAGTTATTTTCTTTTTAGCATATCAGTACCTTAAACAATATGTTCTAATCATTTTTGTTTACAAATTATTCATCAAGAAGAATTAAACCAATATTAAATGTAGTTGAGTTTTAAATCATTTTAAATTTTAAATTATGTAATTAATTTTTAATTATGCTAGTTCAAACGTTTATACATTCAAAGACAAAAAACCAGACACTTGTATATATTTATTTCAATAATTACTAGGTATTAAGATTAATAGTTGATCTAAATTTGCTTAGTCATAATTGACCATATTAATTATTCCAATTAATTATTCTTTTTATCATAGGTTTTTGGTTGAGATGAAAAATTAGTGTCACAAGCGGGATTTGAACCCACGGCCTAAGACTCAATATGCCACTGCTCTAACCATTTGAGCTATAGTGACTTCTTTCTAATTTTGTTTTTTTGTGTATAACACTTTTATTTTTTACTTTTTACCCCTGTGTGTGTAATTTGATCATTACTGATCATCGTGGTCTGCCTATCTTCCCTGTGCAGGGGTATTTCATATGACAGACTTTAGACGGTGAAAGACCAAAATGCGTCTGACAGACTGTCCCAGTAAGGATTGATCAAGATGATCCGTAAGGATTGCCTTTTGATTTTGAACAAATCTTAAGTGGTCAGAAATGGAAATGATAGAAGAAAATGTAAAAAAAATATTTTCTTTTGTAGCTTATGGGCCCCTTTCCATGTGGTTCTGTTTAATACGGTGATATTCATGGTATCTTTTTGTCATTTGAGAGCCATGTGCTCAGATCCCGGTGCGGTCCCGTTGCCACAAAGCCGGATGGACTTTTCCGACATACATTCAGGTAAGTTACACCCCTCCCCCCGACAAAAAAAGAAAAAATATAAATAAATGCGAACCGTTTTAATTAAAGTTACATTTTAGGTTCCGAGTCCACACTCATCCAAAACGAAGATTGGACTGTTTGCACGAGATGCGAAACATACCGGCCTCCCAGGGCTCACCATTGCAGGATTTGCAAGCGGTGCATTAAGCGCATGGATCACCACTGTCCATGGTCAGTTTTAACATGAGTTAAATGTGATTCAACAAATTTGACACGATTTTTTTAGGATTAACAACTGTGTCGGTGAGAAAAACCAAAAATATTTTATACAGTTTCTCATCTGCGTCGGCATCTTATCGGCTTATGCGTTTCTTCTTGTGATCGCATCATGGATAAGAGCTTGTCCTGAGTGCAGTAACGAAATAACGATCAAACAGTCGCGAATGTAAATATAAATAAGTCGCGGATAAAGATTCGAATTTTAAAATTATTTATTTTACAGTGTCCATTGCATAATTTTGGTAATGGAAAGTAGCCTGTTTGGGATTTTCGTCCTGGCCATTTTATACGATCAGTTAGAGGCGATTACAAACGACGAAACGACGATAGAACAACTCCAAGGCTCGAGGGGAAGCCTTTCTCTCCACAAACTAATACTAAGTCATATCTGTCGCCTTCCTTGTTACAGGAACATGGTCGTCCGTACATCACTAAATGCTCATTCTGTCTAAGAAAAAAAAAAAAAATCGGTACTATTGTCTTCAATAAAGGATAGTACTATTAAAACATATCCACGTTTTATATTACACAGCTTTTATAGTTGATTAATAAGTACACGGTTTTTATTTTGTAAATTTTGTGCAATAATGGTTGATATTATAATGATTTATTACCAAGGTTTTATTTTGTTGAATTGATTAGTTTAAAAAACAGCTTTTATTTAAATACCAAAGCAGGATATTTTGTTTATTTTTGTTGTTCACTGGATATTTATATTAAATGTGATCTTTTAATATTATTTGGTGAATCGACTGGTTATATTTGTATTTAACAATTTAATACCTAATTTAAAAAACTAGCTTCCAAAGCTTATTCAGATAAAAATTATACGAGTCTGAAGTATTTATTAAGTTTGTTGATTTGTTTAAAAACTGTTTGAAAATTTGTTTTAGACTTTTATCTTTAATAATTATTTAATGAATGACAAGCTGTCTCTACAATGATTCTATTTTTTTTTTCTCAGAAGTTTTGTTATTTTTGTTGTATGTAAATATAATGGGTGGTTATTTACATAAGCATTTATTAGAGTTTAAGTGATTACAAGAACCATTGAGATTTTCAAACACCGTTGGCTTATATTTTTTCCCCCCTCGTCGGCATATTAAATGTAATTCTTGAAATATTTATTAAGCGTATAAAATGGTACGGGGGAGTTGGCATTCCAATAATTTTGACAATACACTGACCTTTCAACAGTCAATAAACGTATGAAAATTATGATCTAAGTGTGCTTGTTTTTACTAAGCTGTAAACATCGTCTGATGTGTAATTGTGTAAGCTTAAGTACGAGTGTATTTAAAATGTTTAAAACGTCAAACAACTATTCCATGTTTTTTCATCTAGTTTCTTTAATGTTGGACCAATGTTAAGGGAGTCAATTAAATAACAAATCTGAAGATTAGAAGAGTAAAATGATAAAATTAAATTTTTCTGATAAATGTAACAGTTAAATGTTGGATTTTTTAAAAATAATGAACAGCACAAAAATAATAAACTATCAATAAAGACTATTATGTAATTGAATAAATAATAATATTTTATATTTGACATGATTAAAATGAATTGAATCTATTTTCAATAAAGTTAAAAAAAAAAGCCAATGAACTCAGAAATAATTTTCAACTGGACATGTCCTCGCCTGAAATTTTCCTTCCAGAAACTATCGTTGATTGTCTTGAAATGTTTCTCCCGGTCGAAAGTAAAAAAAAAAGTCAAGATTTGTGTTCATGAAATTCAATGACAATCTCAAAACAAGAATGAATTTTGTAAAACTTCGTAAACAGTATTTTTTTCTTTTACCACAAAATGGCAGAGTAAGTCGAATTTATTATTTTTGTTTTTACTCGTGCGAATATAGTGATGTCTAGGCAATGAAAAAATATTTTCACCTCGTGTTTGTGCTTTTTGCAGCTTGGCAATTTGTACGAAAAGGAAAAGTGAAATTATGAGCGTAGGTTTGTTTCGTGGGTCTGAATGGCTAGAATAAGTTTCCCAGGGCAAAAACTTGTGCCTTGCAAACTTGGTCCCTTAAACTTTTAAAAATCAATATTTCTTAATTAGCAGAAACTTAAAAAAAATAAAAAAAATTCAGGAATTAAATTAATATTTCACTTTTCTTTCCGGCCACTTATTTTAAATGCAATAAAGAACCAAAAAAAGTACAAATAATCTACTGTAAACAAAATTAAATAGCAAAAAGATCTAATAAATTTTTTTTATTAGTATCGTAGATGGTTTGATATTAAATGTCTGGTATGATATAATTATATTTTAACGAGTGTGATGCAATAACGACTAAGTTAATATTTATTGCATTGTTTTAGATGTTATAAAAGGAATTGTAGTGTTAAATCAAAACTTAAAAGCTTAAACTGTTATGGTAAATACATACTTCACAAAAGCCTAATTGGTGTTATCTTAAAAAAATGCTTTTAGCTTTTTATCGAAGGACTTTGGAAGTATTTTTACATATCATTGAGTGCTCTGACACCTAAGACTGAAATCTGTCGTTCGCTTAGAAAACCGAAATCCGTATCATTCCGAATGAGAATTGAATTATCATCGAATAATTTCCTGAATCATTCTTCAGTCTAGCTTTATGTAATTTATGACTATTAAATCTTAACATAAAAAATTCTTTAAAAAAAAGAAATAAATTTAGACGCTTGAAATAAATTGTAAGTGGTAATCACTTTTTATCATATTGTACCATAATTATTGTGTAATAAAAAATATATTTATTTAAATCTGCCTTGTTAATTTTTATTTTATCCTATTTCAAAAGTTCTTTTTGTGTAAGAGAGCTTCATGTTGGATTACCTGTTTTCATTTATTACAACGGCAATGCCAAGAACACAGAATTAGTGTGGCAAGTTGGGCGAATAAATGTTTCAGCCCCATCTCAACACTTAAAAACAGTTAATAATTAAAAACATATTTTAATTATTTAAAACAAAACCGTTACCTCAAAGATGATCAAAATGTACTTCTTTTTCGTGGGTTCTCAACAGCAGAGTGCCTGTGTTCTGGAAAAAAAAAATGTTCGGTTTGAATATAGGGTTGCTGGAGTTGAACCTGGGACCTTTACCTTACAGTAATGAGCTATTGATGCCCCTAACTACGTTCTCCCTACAGATTGTTGCTTCTGCTGAACCTTTTATAAATAGAAATTCAAATAGTTTTTGGTTTCAAATTTAGGACATAGGGTTTAGAAGATATGCCCATTTTTATAGAGAAATTTTAATTTACTACCAGGGAGTCTGTGGCTGCAACCGCACTCATCAGTATAAGGTAAAGGTACTAGGGTCGAATCCAACGGCCTGGCATACTTCCAAATAGACTTTTTTCCCCCAAAAAAACCTGAAGTTTGTCACATTATTCATGAATCACCCTGTATGTCAAAATTTATTAATAATATTGTGTATTAAAATACACGCAGGCACAAACAGGTACAAAACATACACATAAAACAAGTATTACTTTGTAGAAATAAATTTTTATTATTTTGTACATTTTTCTTTATTTTACAGTTTGAAATAAATGTTATAAAAGTAAATGAAAATTAAAAGCATTCATTCAGTCCATCGGTGTGTACAATGTTGATTTGTGCATACATAATAAAGTCTCATCTCTTCCTAAAATGTAAAAACAAAAATTAATACATCAATCTTGTATTGTCAAATAAAAATATACCTCGGCTCTTCTCGTCTGGGCTTGGAAGAAAACGGCCTCCCTGTGGTTGCACTTTGGGCACGGGTGCTGCTCCGTCCTAGGGAGTGTTGGATCGGAAATAACATCGGACACGATGTGTGTCAGCTCGCTTAAAAACAAAACACGTATAAAACGTTTAAAAATGAAATTATTATTGACAAGGTATACTTACTCGATTTCGTGCATAATTTTGTTCACATAGATACAGTTGCTATCGGCGAGCTGTTTGTAGTCACAATTTCTACACTGAAATAATTGAATTAATCAATTAAAAAAATGTAAACTTGGAAAGATTAAAATTACTCACTGCATATAGCAAAACTTTGTTTTCTTTGTCCTCTTTGGGATATAACATGTTATTACTGTAACAAATTAAAATCATTAATGACACCAACAAATCGAAATAAATAAACTTGTGGACAAAATTAAAACACAAGGTTTTACAAAATAATACATTTTTAATTGTTAGGATTTTTAAAAAATATAATAATGTTCTGCAGTACAGTACTTCATGCTTCCTCCTCTACGCTTTTACAGGTGTTGAAGGTGGTATTCTATCAATTTAGAAACCCGCTGTCTGACATTGTAAAGTTGAATAACTTAAATTTTGTAAATTCGTAAGTTGTTGAATTCTGGCATTTGCACAGGGTGGAACTTTTCATTCACAACCTGAGGGATATAGGGCCTGGCCTCCAACATTAAAAAACTGGTACTTAAAAATGTATGTACTGCTTTGGAGTACAATAACTAAGTGCTCTTACTGAGTTATTGTACTCCAACTCAATAAATAAAACTACAAGAAATTGACTGATCAAAGGGATATTAATTTGGGATTAATTCAAGGAGCACATTTTAATGATACACAAATTTAAAGACACTTAATTTCACATTAAGAGATCGGTGAAGCAATAAAGAACTTTAAGCCTATCTGTGCCAGATACCAGGTGCTTGTCCAGGGATATTTGTCTTAATTACTACGGACAGATTCAGATGACACCCCACCTACCCACTAATTATTACAGCCAAATTATTAACTACAATGAAACTATAGATAGCATATCATATTTGGCGTTTATTTACATTGCTTAAAATTATCCTACATTTGGTAGGCAAAACAGGCCACTTTGCAGTTGAATACAGTAAGGCTCTCTTTTTGGAAGTAAGGGGACAGGGCGAAAGAATTGGTCTTGATCCACTACTGTTTCCTGAAGACACTCATGCGCCGGGTTGTTTTATACCGATTTTAAAGAGTATGGCAAACAGTTGTGGTTCAGTCGAATTCCTTGGCCCATGCTGCTGAACGGTTTAGGTAGTATGTACATTGAATGCTCGCATATTAGATTATATAAGACTGTGACCAGTATTGGTCTATTGTGCACCTTCATTTTTATAATCTAGAGCTTCTTATTAAGCTTAAGGCTTTTTTTACCAGATGCCAAAGCTTTTTCAAGTGGTACTGTGTGTATCCTTCAGGCCCTGACTTTTCCTGTCCCAGGATTAAGCGGGAAACACACTTACCCGACACAAATCCAAAGTCTAATTTTCCATAAGATTATATTACCTCGTGCACATCTGCCCGATGCCACGCAACGCTACCCTACTCTATGCTATGCGATCCACACTGTCCAGATTTTCGTCGAGTAGTGTTGACTACAGTCGAAGACAAAAGAACCGGACACTCATATTTTTCTTTCAAACTACATGTATTATTGTCACTATATTAATTACAACATACTTATTTTAATATAAACCAAACTAAGCGAGAACAAAAATTCATTAGTTTTTATTAAAAAAAAAATTTTAAGATTTGGCAGAAAATTGATCAAAACACCAGAATACCATTTGTTAATAGAATAAATTTAACTAACAATTTATTACATGGATTTGCTCATAAAATTTAACTAAAATTTATGTAATGGATTTGCTCATAAATTTAACGTGGGGGCACTCTCAAGACAACACTCAATAATGACACATCTACACGGAAAACTATCACTTTGAGCCCTGAAGATGATCTCAATAAAGATCGAAACATTGGCACGATAAAGAAAATTTTTTCTAAAACCTACGTTACACCAGACCATTTCTCACAATCTCCAAATAATCATAAAATTTAACTAACAATTTATTACATGGTTTTGTTCATAAAATTTAACTAACAATTTATTTATTACATGGTTTTGCTCATAAAATTACACCATTTTCATCGATAGCGCCAGAACTGGACACTCATATTTTTTGTAGTTTATTTCGAACTATGTATATGTAATTTTATCATTATATTAATCGCAACGTACTTATTTTAACATAAACCAAATTAAACAAGATCAAAAATTCATGAGTTTTCATAAGAATTATTTCATTATGATGGTTAGGCAGAAAATTTATCGAATTACCAGAATAACTTTATTTAAAACAATAAAATTCAATTTATTACAAGGTTTTGCTCAAAATAGTGCATTAAGACCTAAAGAGGTGTTGCGATTGTGATACTGATTATTGGGATACACGCTACGTGACCAACTGTATGTGGCGTGCGCTTAGTCGAATAGATGTGCACACCCTACCAAAACGAGACAAGGCGTTGGGTAATATCGGGTGTGTTTCCCGCTTTAGGAATCTCAGCTAGGATGTTCCACCGTTTCTTCTTCTTGGCAATATCTTTACAGGCTTGTTTATACCACTCCGAGAGTCTATAAATATGCCTCTAGAGTTTGCAGTGTCCAATCAGCAGTCCCACTATTATTCTAGACCTAGCACAACCAAGATGTAGCTTTCTGCGATGTTCCTTTGATAAATTTTTTCGCATGCCTCTGTCCAGGGCTACATTCCCATTGAACAGAGGACTTATTTTTTAATAAATAAAAGGGTTCAGGGGCCAATAGGTCTTCTCATTGAACTTTCCTTGGACAATTTATCGGCCTCTTCGCTGCCCCTCTGACCTGTGTGCCTTGGTAACATAAACCAGACAAGAGTAATTTTTTTATTTATCCTTATGTCTGACAGAACTCTATTATTGTTTTTTGTATATTTTAAGTCTTTCCATTAGTTCAATATCGATGGAAATTCTATTTGCAAGTATCACGGTTGCTTGATATGAAATCCTATACCCTCGAATAATCCTCAGGGCATTTTTTCTTTGAGTACTTCGAAATTTTTTAACATTATATTTTTTTTCTAGTGCACATCTTTATACAGGTGCAACATATGTTAATAACGGAAGGATTGCTCTTTCATAAATCATTTCAAGAGCACCCTGTCCCAGTCGCCAGTACACCTTCGCAAATCATGAAATCATGTTTATTGGGCGCCCTGATTTTCACATGATCTTTCCAGATGTAATTTCCATGTTTTGTGTCCAACTTCAGTTCTTCGACCTGTGGCATCAGCTCACCCCTTGTGTTCCCTTCCAAGATCTAGGCCAACTCTTACGACCCAGACAGAAGCGGAGTTGGCCCGATTAATCAATAAACAATAATACACATTTAACTCATTACACAATATAAGTTTAAAAAGGACTGAAATAAAAAGTAAAAAAAAAACAACTGTTTTGTATGTATAATTACCATTCTTGACAAAATCGTATGCCGACAAAGCCGGGGCCGTCGTCATGTGTGTCGTATCCTCCCACAGTCGTCGGCATATTTCTTCAATTTTATGCCAAAAAAATTGGTCTAAATTTGATATTTATATATTTTTATATGAAAGTTATTATTTTGTAACACAGTCGAGAATGTTTACCCATACAACATTAATAAACCACAAATATAACCACAAAAGAGGTTATAATCTACCTTCTCTGCCCTTAACTTTACTATGTTTAAATTAAATTACCGCTCTATTTAAAAAATATAGGTTTATAATTTTTTTAAAAATTTGTCTCAAAATCGAAAAATTGACAAATTTTTAATATTTTGTTTTATCGGATCATACCAGGAATTGACCTTTTTACCCGCGAAAACGGGCAGTACTGACCGTGAGGTTTCAAACTCAGTTTCTCCCCCATGCCGTTGTTTTTAAAAAAATATTTTAATTATCCGCGTTGAGTTTTGAATTTTATTAATATTGGCTTTAAAAAAGAAATTTCGAGTCATCCGGCGCGATGAACATAATAGAAAACATCGAAAGGATGAGATTGGGATTGAGTGAGTTAGTTGTCATGTTTTTTGTTGACATTTTTCCTTATTTCAATAAGAAAAAAAATCGTACCGTATAAATATATTTTAATTAAGAAACAATTAACGCTTAATGACAAGAACTCGTTGGGTGTGACAAAATACTTCTGTCATTCAGATAAAAATATGTGGTTTATTGTTGAGTTTTTGATGATTGTCATCATCAGGGTTGTAAAAATGTTCATGTTGGTGCTTGTCACTTTTGTATTACTAATCACTAAATATTTGTAGTTTTAATCTTATAATGTGACAACCTCTTGTTTATTTTTATTCAAAAATTGGTGAACCGGCAATGGGTCACTTATTCCGTCTTCCCTTGCGGGTTGGGGAATTATTAAAGAACAGTTCCTCATTGAAAAAGGCGCAGTGCCTAAACGTGTTTGAATAGTTAAACAAAACTGCAAGTGAAGACACAACGAGCGACCAAGTGCTGGTTCAACATGAGTTCACTGACTTGTCGACCATGATAACACATAATACTCGTTGATTATTGGCGGTTTATTATGTTATAAAAATTTCACTTGAAACACAGGTTTGATCAGAGTATACAATAATTTGTTGACTGTTTTGACAAACAATTATTTTCTTATTTTTTTCCAGGCCACTGGTGTCTACAGTCTAAAAGATGTTTTGTTGAATTGACCATTCATTATTTCCTCGAAAACCCTAAGGCAGTTTAGAACTTTCCAGGGTCCCCTTTATTTTTATAGGTGTTGATATGTCAGAATAGGCAGGCAATATTCAAAGTTGCACAAAAGGACATAAAACTACGATGTTTCGCCCTTTTCAGTTCCGCTTTTAGCAGTTCTGGTTCAAAGGGTGAAGGGACAATTTTGCTTGTTCTAACATTTATTTCTAGGCCCTGGAAGTGCTTAGATAATTGCTCTAGGCCAGGGCTTTCCAAACTTTTTAGCCAGCGGACCTCTTTTCCAAAACAAAATCCAGGGCTGGCCCCTTTCATTCAAGTATTTAAAATTATATATTTATAATATGTAATAAATTAGCCAGTCCAATCCTAATTAGATGATGGAGGGGGATATTATGAAAACAAACATTTAATTGACATATTGATTTATGTAAAAACTTGAGCCAATTTCAAAAGTAATAATTTGAACATTAATGATTAATGAATTAATTGGAAGAGTGAGGTTGTTTTAGCCTGCACAATTTGGATATGTTGGTTTTAATTTTGGATAGTTGGAGACAGATGTCAGGTTCAGCATCTGGTAGCTGTGTAGATAGAAAATCTGATTTTCATAGGTAAATTGAGGCAAATGGAACGAGAAAAAGTTTTTTTTTTCAACAACAGGTTGAAATTTTTGGTTTTCCAAGTGAGTCAAAAATGGTGGTTAGTATCGTACTCGAAAGTAGATTTCAATGGGGAGTCTATCAAAATTTTCATATTCTCTTGAAAATAGACAGATTGGCTTTGTCAAAACTGAAAACGGTTTGACCACCCATTCGTGGTCTTGCAGCATTGTGCCTTGAGCCATTGAGAAGTAGTGTCTAAAGGACAACTCCCAACTTTGAAGGCGTTCATATATTTCATCAATCTATGTCCCCTTCACAAGTTCCAGTTTGTTTTATTCTAAAAGAAATCACTTTATACAGGAAAACACCTTTTCAACAGATTCAACCCAAAATTGGATTTTTCTTTTGAAGGCGTGAACTTTGTCATTTGCTGATTATTTGGTGATGAGATGTGATCTTGTGTGATAAAGGTTTATAACATCACACAAGACTGCATGTCACAATCTCCAAATAATTATTAATTAATGGTCACCAAACACTTCACAATTGTTTTTTGCATCGAAAGTTATGATACTTAAAAACAACAGTATACATTGCCATTTCTCATCATTGAAAACGTCGGCCAAATTGACATTGTGGCCCATCAACAAGATAAAACTTCAGACTATATCGAGAGACAGCCACTTCACTTCTGCATGGAGAAGCAGGGAATGATGAAAGCTTCCCATATCGTCCCATAGTTTTGTGAAAAGTTTTGACTCCAATGGTAGCGATTTGAAATGATTAATAATTTGAACAAACTCTTCCAAAACTTTCTTAAAAGAGGTTGGCTCTGTTTCGTAGCTAAAACATGCCTGTGGAGAACACAATGACTGCTCCTGCAAAATAAAAACTGTCATTTTCAGAACTCATTGTTATTAGTTTTTAAATTTTACTTATTCATTCTCCGTTTATTTTTATAATTATTACTTTTTCTTAAAGGAGCCCCTAGTTAGGGTTGGCGGACCATTTGAGAAGCCCTGGCCTAAGAAAAATTAGAAACGCCGGATACGAGTACGAAATTACTATTTTTTTGATAATATTTTATCAACTTATAGGAAACTAATTAAATTTATCTGAAATTAATTATTGAATGTTTTTCCTACCCATTTTTATTTTGGCAATAAAAACCACATTCGCAGATGATTTTCAACTTTATCTGGACAAAAAAATAAATCAATGACTCCATCTTTTATGTTGAATTCACTAATTTCATGGTCTGCTTGACCAATTAAGAAGCCTTTATGTTGATTTCAGATTGACTTAAAAAAAAAAAAAAAAAAAAAAAATCTATCTGAAAGCATTTGATGTCTGATATCCCAAGAGATTTTTTTTTTTGCAATGGTCATTGATGGATCCCCCCCAGTATTCCACGAGTAATTATGCTTGAAGAAAGTCTGTAAAAATGTGTGTTTCTTAATGACCTGTTGTTCCATAATTTGTTGGATTCATGAGGAGCAGTCAAGAATGAGGTAGTCTAGAAAAACCACTTTTTCCATTTTTTGGACAATGTTTATACTTTTATTTGGGTCATCTTCAGGGCCTCGGTAAATTACAAAACATGTTTATTGGAAAAAAAATACAATATAAGATGTAAATATAAATTTTGAACATAGTATTTCATACTCACATAAAGTGAGGTGCTATTCTTGTGGTGTCATATTGGTTTTATGTGAGAGTGAAACATGAATTTGTATTCTGCTATTTTTATATGATAGTGACAGGATATAAATAAAATTATCCAGATTTACCACGTCCCCCATTAGTTTTGTTAAATATTATTTTCATTTTATATTTATTTTTATAATTATTAATTTTCCTTAAAGTTCTCTGCAGACCACCCGATTAAGGTTGGCGGACACCCAAAGGGTCTGCGGATCATTGGAAAGCCCCGCTCTAGGCAGTACTGTCACCTTTACTAAGTGGCTGTACCATTTCGGGAGTAACGTCTCATAGGGAATGTCTCGATGCCCGTTGTTTCATGGAATAGTTGGCAAGTTTCTCTCTATTTACTTATTTTTGAGCAGTATTAGCCAGTATAAATTATTATTTTTCTAAATTAGGTCTAAAGCAGCTTTTCTTTTTGCTAGTTTGTCAGCCTTTTCATTTCGTTCAGTCTCCTTGTATCCTGGCTCCTACCTAAAAATTAACTGATTTTCTCAGGAGTTGCTTAATGTTAGGCATTCCCAGACCCAGGTTTAAGATGAAGGTGGAGACTAAAGCTTGAAAGCGCAAGTAAATATTTGGTCCTTCATCCCCTGCCCTTGGAAAATTGCTGTTGTGGGGCATAGAACACAGTCTAGTGAAATTTCTTATGAAATGTCCACTTCTATTCAATGAACTTTGAACAATTTTTTTAAAATCTAGGAATTTGTTATTAACCACTTTCTCCCTCTCTGAGAAGAGAGAAGGAAAAATATGAAAATAAAGTAAAAATAATAGTGGATAATTTTTTATCAACTGGACAAAATATAACACGTAATGTTATTTCCTTTAAAAAAAAAAAAAAAAGATTGATCTGTCCTTTTGTAATATTGTTATCCTTCCTAATTGGTAAAAAAATATGCAGATCCGCAATTAATTGGCGGATTTGCTAGTTTGCTTAGTTAAAAATAACTTTAAAAACAAATTCTGTATAAGGAACGCGTATTTCTCCAGGTTATTGCAAGAGGATTGACCCAGTGTACCGTGACTTGAAAAACGTCCTTCCAGATGTATTTAAAAATTTCAGCATCGAGGTCCTCCCAGGGCGCGTACATACGTCGTATTGTCCAGTCTTTGCCACTAAATTTTGCAACGTCCCTATGTACAAACACATGTTAGCTGCGGCAAATGAGGATGGAAAAGTGTCTGTGTGCGACACGTTAAAAGTCAAAGAACAGCCTGAGATAACAAGTATATTATCAATTGCTTTTTTATATATTTTTTATTTTTTTTAAACGTTAACACACTTTATTCAGCTGTTCAGGCGCATAATAACGCAATTTTCGACTTGAACTGGGCGAATTATGATCACAAGTTTGTGACGAGTTCAGGTGACCATACGTGCATTCTTTGGGACGTTGGCGAGGGCAGGGTCAAAAGTATACACAGATTCGTCTGCCATGCACAGAGCGTAAAAGCTGTTATCCCAAGGCCAGAAACAGACTGTGAGTAAATTTATATAAATTTTCAATTTATCGTTACTTAAAAAAAGTTTCCTTGTAGATATGTATGCTTCTGGTGGTAGGGACGGCACGATTAAATTTTGGGACGTCAGGTCAGGAAAGCATGGAGAATTCAATATATCAGAGGATCATGTTTTGAACAATCCCCATGTAAAAATAGGTAAATCTGTTTATTTTTGATAATATGCAAATTTTGATTTAGTATTTTTTTAAAAACAGATATTCATTTTCAGGGAATGAATCTAAGAAAACAAAGAGGAAGGAAACTTCAGTAAAAGCCGATGACTCAGGAAACCAGTTTTCTATAACTGGAATAGCATTTCAGGACGAAAATACGATTTTCAGCTGCTCATCCGGTGACGGGTAGGAAATATTCTTACAATTTTCTATAAATAAATTTATTAAAAAATGTATGCATATTAGAATGGGATATAGATTAAAAATGACGAAACTTTAAACAAAAGGTTATGAGATTTCTTCGTGTGTATGCATGCATATATGATGGGCCGCCAAGCCTGAAGTAGAAATTTTTTTTTTTACAACTTTGTCACAGTTTTTATTTTCTGTTTTCTTACCTTGCTAACCTCTCAAAGGAACCTTTGGTTATGGTTAGATTGTCAAAAGACTATTAAAAAAAAACAAATGACAAAAGATTTTCCTGTTTCCCTCTGCCCCTGGAAACACCGCTAGCCACAAGAGCCCCTTCCCCCTGAACACCAGGCCATTATTTAGTCAAACCCCTGTAATGTCATGGTGAAGAGCCAGCAAACAACGCCCCTGAAATAATAAATTTAAAACTTATTCATAGTTGGATAACTTAATAAAATAGATGTTTTTATTGCGATTGATTATGTCAGAAATAATAAATGCACTATATCCTTGTGAATGCAGTTTATTGTTTTGGAATAAGTAGACAAACAGATATGGTTAAAAAAAATTAATTAATTAAATTTTATATCCATCTACAAATTCAAAGCCCAGAAATACCAATTGAGATTAAAGCTCAGATGTACTCAAATATTACCTCTCGAAATACTTCAAATGATCAATGAGCTTTGTTTAGAAGGTAGAACTGTACATCGCAGATTTGAATTTGGTCAATGGTCTACATTTTCAAACCACATGGTAGTTTATAGTAAAATTTAATAATCTAAAAATTGTAGCTATGACATGATCTGTTTAATAGCTGAAAATGATAGTTATAGCGTTATGCTGTTTTTGGCATGCCCATTGTCGGTCATAAAAAAGATCTTCAATTGTCTAATTTTATAATTGTAATATTAATATAATAAATACAAAAAAAAAAATAAAATAAATAAATACACTGTTCCATAAAAAAAGTAGCGTACTTTAAAATTTTTACATTTTTTTATATACTTGGTTTTTCAGTACTGTTAATACCGACATTTTCAAGTTGAGCCTATTGACTTCTCGTAGTTCCCTGGCAATTCAAGCTTTTGCTATTTACAATAAATTGCCGACAGACTCGAGAATCATCCACTCTGGGTGTTGGCAGTCAGGGGCTGACCAGTCATCCGTCGGCACCACCAAGGTTGGGCTCTGGCCTCTGGGGGAGATAGGTCAATCCAGCACCCAACAAATGCAGTTGTAAACACGTTCATTCTTAAATACATTCACTCCAATTTACATACCATTAATTCAATTAGGGCAATGAAGTACTCGATATTTCACCATCGACCCTCTCACATCACACTTTCATGCTAATAAATACATTTACTCTCACCACAACCTTTACATATACTATACAACTGGCTTAATTGAGGATCGATGGGGGTACTTGATATTCTGCCTTTGACACTCTCACATCACACATTCATGCTAATAGATACATTCATTCTCAATACAACCTTTACACATATTATACAACTAGCTTAATTGAGTATCGATGGGGGTACTTGATATTCCACCATCGACACTCTCACATCACACATTCACACTAATAAATACATTCACTCTTAACACAACCTTTACACATATTATACAGCTAGGTTAATTGAGTATCGATGGGGGTACTTGATATTCCACCATCGACACTCTCACATCACAAATTCATTATAATAAATACATTCACTTTCAATACAAACTCGGTATACACAACAATTATAACTATATACAATAGAACAACCCTGTTTCCTCCGAGAATTGAGAAAACAGGACCCAGACATTTGCTGCCGTGCTTAAGCACAATTTTCAAATTGGCTGGCATCCCTGCTCGCTCCCTGTATGGAGCCAAGGAATTTCACCGTTCAATTTTGGACAATCGAGCAACTTTTCTCTGCATGCTGGGCTTTGGCCCAAAATGCCCATGTGACAATCTCGCATGGCCTATTCTTAAGAGGATGACCGTTCTTCTATGAGTATCCTTTGCAGGCCACCCATCGACAGTGCTCTTGATACGCGAGAGTTTCTCTGTTGATCCAGCCTATTGACGCTGCCACCTGCTTTTAATCATGTCTTTATTGCGTTCTTTGTGCCATTTTTTTTGTGGAGCAGTTTATCTATAATAATTAATATAATTATAAAAAATGATCAGAAAAATATATTAATTTTTATAATATTTTGTCATATGACAGTTTCTTGCTTATAAAACAATAAAGTTAGTTGGTATTTATTTGTGTTTATAAATTAAAAAGTCAGAAGGACGTTGGTGGTTCATTAGATTTTATATAATTATCAACCTAGGAGTCTAGAACAAAAAGTCATAAGTTAAGTGTAACCTCCGAGCTTTTTTATATAACCTCCCATTCGGTTTCCGCGTGTTATGATTGTTTGGAGAAAAAAGAAAGTAATTTAAATTTCGGGCCGAGCTGAACAAATTCCGACCGGAAGATGTCAGAGAGTGCCGGGGAGACGAAAGAAACTGGAAGTAGCGAGGGGTGCTGCGAGGTGCAGAAACCGAAGTCGCTCCCTTATAAATTAGACTGGTACCAGACCGAGGTGCTGGTGGTGGTGACAGTTTTCGCCAAAAACTTCGTTCCAGACAAGGTACGAGTCGATTTCCAAGATGAGGAGGTGTTTTTCACCTTGACGTTGAACACCGGCGAGACTGTCGACAGGACGCTTCGTCTTGAAAAACCCATCGAACCTTCTCGCTCGTCGTACAAGGTGCTTTCGACTAAACTGGAAATCAAACTCGCCAAGAGGGACGGCCTGAACTGGAAGAACTTGGAGAAAATCGAGGAGAAGAAGAAACCGTCGAAGGGGAAGAACTGGGACAAAGTGGTCTCTGAGTTCGAGGAGGAACAGGGCGAAGGCGAAGAAGCCCTCAACTCGCTCTTCCAGAAGATCTACGCCGAAGGTTCGGATGAAGTGAAGAAAGCGATGAACAAGTCCTTTGTCGAATCGGGCGGGACTGAACTGAACACCAACTGGAACGCCGTCAAACAGGGCAAAGTGTCTATCAAACCTCCTGAGGGCATGGAATGGAAAACATGGGACAGTTAACTAGACTGCTTGAATCTTTATTTCTCTTTTTTTTCTTCGCCTTGTTACTCTAATAATTCGCCAATTCTATACATTTGCAATAAATAATGAACTTTGTATAGATAACAAATGTGTTATTATTTTTCTGTTCTTGGTAGCTTATAATGGTGTTCATTAATAAATCAACAATACAAATTTAACATCTTATAACGTTACATAAATTTTTTTTCGTTCAAAAACTCATTAATGTTCATTAATCTAATTAAGAATCCCTTTTCCAGTGTTGAATGAAAATGACAGTTCAGTATTTTTTGTGTTAATTTCATTTCAGTTATGCATACAAATATTTATGTATACATATCTGATTTCAATAAAATGTTTAAAAAATATTTGTATTTGTGGATCAATACCAGTTAAATAGTTGAAAAAAGCAAGGACAAACTGTTTTGCAGTGATCCAGATTTTGACTGTGAAATGCTCATCATCATCATCATCATCATCATCATCTAAGTGAAAACTAATAAGATATAGATAGGGAATTGTCCGAGTGGATCAAAGTCACGGTAGCTCAAGTCGTTAGAGCAGCGGCGTATTGAGCTGAAGGTTGTGGGTTCAAATCCCGCTTGTGATACTAGCTTTTTCATCTCAACCAAGACCATACTAAAAAAAAAGGAATAATTAATTGAAATAATTAACATGTTCATTTAGATCATTAAATATAAATAGATTAATATTATTATTGGTCATACAAGCCTACAGGTAAAGTTTAAATTATGGAACAAAAATTTGAAATTCTAATTAAAGAACAGGAATAAATTTTATAATTGAAAATGTTTTTTTGTGTACATTTGACCTTCCAAATCAAGTATTTTAAATGGATAAATTAAAGCTTTGGATGATAATAGGATAGATTAGTTTATGAGTCTGAGCTTTATAGCACTCAGAAGGGGCATAATTGTTAGGGCATGAAATTTCAGCCGTTCAATAACAAAACAATTAAAAAATGTGTTTACAGTAATGGAATATCTGTCTGCTTGGAGTGGAGATTACTGATAATGAAATAGCCAATAAAATATATTTTCTGTGTTTTATATCATAATTAGAAAGAAAAAGAACACAAATGCCAAAAAGAAAACAAGATATTTATATACCATTAATTAAGTAAAAATTTCTTCTAATCAAAAATTGAATTATTTTACCCATTCCCAGCAGTAAAACCAGGTGTAACGAGCGAATTGTATTAGCTGCAGTCTTTGCTCATTTAAAAGTTTGACTAGGACTATATTTTCTATCGAGGCCACAGCACTACCCAAATATGAACCATGAATCTCGAATAGAATGGTACATTTAGCCAAAAATTGCACGATGGTTTCCTTTTCCCTTGTATTTACAAAGAGCACATTTTTGGATTTCTCTGGCAGCCTATCAAGAGGGTGGAGTTAAGGGCCAGAAGTTTACCTCGGATTTTGAAAAGTCAGAGATCCCTGTTTTAGTGTTCTTACATGTTTCTCTTTCCTCATGGAGAACACATTGAGATTTCGGTCGAGCTTCTTGTACAAAAGTAATCTTCTGTTTCCAGTGTTCCCTCCAAAAACTAGGCCTTATATTGGAAAGAACACCTTGGAATTTTATCATCCATTCAGAATTATTGTCCCAGGAGAATCAGAAAGGATATATCTCTCTGACATGGAACTCCAGTGCTCATGCCAAAAAATATTTTTATTATCTACTGAACTGTAATTTTTGTCTAACGACCAGGGAGTTTTAGGGTTTTGTATATATATTCAAAATGGAGCTTTAACGCTTGCCGAAATAAGGGATCAACATGGTTCTGTGCATGTAATTTGGAGTACAAGATGGCAAGGCATATAACTGCTTGATAAAGTACTTTAACAATTTTTCCAACTGATCATACGGTTGAATACCCCAAACTTGACATCTGTACACATGGAATGGCAAACCGCATTACACAATTTATATTTGGAAGGAAAGGACCACACCAACATAGTATTAAGTGCAAATTTTTCTGCTGAGACAGATTGGTATCAACCAACACGGTGTAGACTCTACAACGGTAATGAGGAAACTTCAAAACACACTTTAGATTCAATGAATTTTCTTTTGGGAACCAACTCAACTGACAAATACAAACAGTTCTTAAAGGGTATACCATGTTATACGATGTTTGCCGGTTTCAGTGAGGGTTTTTTTTAACCGCAAGTTCACTGAGCCATTTCATCTCTACCAGGACCTGAAAATTTCAATCGGCTTGTACACGCTTATGTGAATTTGATTTTAGGACAGATTACACCTGCCTCTTTTACCTTCAAACCTTTACCTGCATTCGATTCATCAGGGTAAAAGTAATTTTCAACTGTCGTATTTTAGATTAATTAAGGGATGGGACATGAGGCGACTTTATACCATAAGATTACACAAACCGTTGCCCTTGGTCGAATTGAAGTGCCCGCCAGAGCAAAAGTGGAAAGGGTTTTCCAGTCTGGCAGTAAGCCCGTGCAGAATGAAGCTTTATGCCAATTGCGTATCAAACTGTATGTATTGTTATGATATCGCATCATATAGGGAAGAACCAAGTTTGTATATTTTTATTTTATAAAAAACATGTTTGTATAAAGTACATAATTTAATTCAATTTTTTTTTTTAAATATACAGTCAAACAATTTGAAGGTCACACCGTTTCAAGTTATTACATCAGGAATGCGGTCAGCCCAGATGGTAGGTATGTCGCAAGTGGTTCGACAAACGGCGTGGCATACGTCTGGTCTGTCGACGTACCCGAAATCCCTTTGGTCCTGCTCAAAGGGCACACTAGCGAAGTCACCTGCGTCGATTGGTGCCAATCAAGCGGTGTAAAGGTTAGAACAATAAAAAAAAACCCAAAATTTTTCCTGACACTTTTTTAACGATATTTTCAGTTGGTGACAGCTTCTGACGATTCGACGTATAAAGTTTGGAGGCCTTGCACGATCGAAAAACAGGAATGCGATATTCTGCTAGGCGGTGAAGCATACGATGCAGATTGTATGTATCCTAATCTTTATCAAAACAAGAAAATTAGAGTATCTTGCCAAATAAAAGGTAAATGATTAAATACAATAAAATAAAAAATTACATAATTTTATAATACTTTTTTATTTTATTTTATTGCATAGATTGCAGTAGTTATAAAGTATTTCAGAGAAAAAGGAAAGCACCTTTTGGCTTATATAAAAATAATGACTTATCTCCAGAAAAATCCAACAAAAGACCTAGGTTACAATTGACTCCTATTAAAGGTAAAAAAAATAGATTTTTTAAAAACATTTTACTAATTTTTGGTTTAGCATTAACATAGCTTTGAGTAACTATTGAAAGTTAAAGGTTAAAACAATTCGGCCTGTTTATGACTTTACACAACCTGGACTCACACTCTCCATCATTGTCTATGGTTCATTGTTAAGTTTAAGATTTTTGATCCAGATCCGAAAGTTTTGTTGAAGAGTTGGCTTTTCTCTCCTAGGAATACGAATCTCAGCCTACATAGTCCCTCGTACCAACAGTTGTCATTGATGTTTCTTCTTTTTCCTGGTAATATCTGCACAGGCTTCTGCTGCTCCGAGACCCACTATCATTCTAGACCTACTTTGAACTATTTCATTGAAATACTTTCCCATTGAACTGAGGACTTATTTTTAAACCATTGTCTGATGGATCTGGGTTTTTAGCTGGTTATCCTGCAAAAGGAGTCCTGATTGAACTTAGCCAATTCACAGGCCTCCTGATCATTGCTCCTGTCCTGCATGCCCTTGGTACTCAAAAAGGCTAGTTTTGTTGTTTTCCCAACCTTGATGAAAACGCTCTAGATTTTTTTAGACGCTTTTAGTGCCACTTTACTGCCAGAGTAGGTTTGTTGATAATACCCTGCCTTTTGATCTCTCTGGCACAGTGTTAAAGAGTCACAGTCTTGGCCTGAAAGACAGTGACATACTTCCCAAGGCTTACATGAATTTTAGTCTTTTTTTCCCATACCTTCCGACCCATACACAGACTTGGAGACTTTATACAAGATATTGTCAGAATTAACTGGGATCTGTTTTCCCTAGTCTGCCCTGTTGGTTATTTTTATTTAATTTTTCTTTTTTAATATAAAAATTTAATTTTGTCAGGCATCCCCAGAACTTTGAAGTGATTCCTTACAAAGCTTTAAGAATTTTTATGATGATCTGCTATTGATGTAGTGGATTCATGATGACTTTCAGGGCAGCAGTGAGTGTCGTTCTATTTGCTTCAGTAATGCCAAGGCATGCCTCCATGAAATACTGAAGTAAATTTTGTAATTTTAATTTAAAAAAACAGATTTTAAAAGATTCTTTAATTTTTTTCCCTTTATGCTTTAAGGATCTACAGTTTTCTTTTTTTGTGGTTTCATTTGATTTTAGAAAGCCCAACGCTGAATTTGCCCGATCTAGTCAAAGACGGAACATCACCTCACGACCACCATTGCATGCGTACGCCTAAAAGCCATAGCAAAGACTGGCTCACGAGGCATAGAAAGAGCGCTTCGAAGGAAAAACAGAAATCGGGCTTAAGGCGACGTTCCTCGCAGAAGGGGTCTCCTTCGGCTAAAGTCACCTTGCTCAAGTATTTCAAATTTGGCACTATGAATGTAAACGACCAGAAGCAGATAAACGAAAGCTCAGAACGTGAAGAAAAAGAATAGGCAAGTTATAAAAAAGAAAAAAGAAACATCCAAACTTGGATCGTTTCTTGATATTTTAACCAATTAGAAGATAAATTATAAACGTGGACTATTGGCTCCCATGTGAGTTTTTTAAAAGTATACAATAAATACGCATATAATAAAATTATTATAAAATAACTTATTTAAACAAAAGTGAAAAAAAAGTAAATGTTCGTTGTATATAGTGGCACACCAAAAATTAGTTAAATTGAAGTCTCTATTCTTCAAATATGTTTACAATTTTTATTCCAATTAAATATAATTTTTTTCTCACATATGTTAAAACTTTTCAGATTATTAAACAAGTGAGCATTTTCTTAAAAATTAATATAAATTGAGGCTATGGATATAATTTTCAAGATTTCTAACTACGACATAATTACACTATTAAGTTCCATAGTTCAAGGAGAAATCTTATTGTAAAAGTGTTATTTAAGAATTAATAAAGTATAATTGGTGGTTTTTTCGGAATGCAGTTGGGATTTTTTTTCCCGATCAATACATACACATTAGAGATTGTTTATAAAAATATACAAGAGATTTAAGAACTTAGTTCTTATAACTGATAGTTTTTACAGGTAGTTGACTTTAAAACACTGTGAATACAGATAAATATCATGTACATAACTTTTATGGCCATAGAAATGAAAATAATGTTCAGGATTTAAGAACAAGCACACGAACAAAACTGATCCATAAATTTATACACACATAGCAATTATTTGATACACATTTTTACTAGCATTGTTATTTATAAACTTCCAAAAAAAAATGTATATTATATTATTATATAATAAAATAGGAAAACCATGAACAAAATTCTATACATACATATACAACAAAATTCATTGGTTCATTAATTTTTTTTTTGTAAATAAAAAGCATTTTCAATTATTGTGACAAGTTCTTTGACAATATTTCAAAATTGTTCAAAGCAACGAAGCGACAAAAAAAATTTATTAGCTTCACCCCTGTAAACATTTCTTGTACACTCGGGCGAGAAAATTCGTCGGGAAGATCTTCACTGGGATTCTGGTCAAAATTATTTTCCTAGCCGGAAACTTCTGCACTTATTCCTTATAGAATTACTTCACCCGTTATATTTCCACGAGTAAATTTCAAATCTGTGCCTTCAAATACAAGAACAAAAATGTTTGCTAAATGTTTTCTGAAATTAACTTACAACAATTTTATCATTAACTCTGACATTGGGTTAGGTCTGTCCAGAAAAAAAGGTGCTTTGTCTAAATTTTGTTGGAAAAAATCAGTCTGGATGTTATCCGAATTGTATCTTCAGAAATCAGTCTATTTTTAGTTACTAACAGTGGTATTTTTTTTATTAATGATGTTCCAATATTAAATACATTGTATATGTTAAGAAAAAAATTCTGATTGTATTCCCAAAAAAACCCATCTATAACTCAATACAATCATCACATCTTATTTAACAAAGATAATGGTGTGGTTAAAGCCTTGCCAAAACCTTGTTAAATATAGCAATTATTTTTAAGTAAATTTCAATTTAATAAAGTTTTGTGTTTACAATGTAAGTTAAAATATGTACCTAATCATTTTGTTCTGCTTCCATCTGACGATTTTCAAAATTTCGTGTTTTTCTTTTAAATATCGATACATACAATTCATACTGGTTAGCGGGTGTTTTTCTTTCGAAATATCACCAAGATTTTCTAGTTAAACGTTTAAAATACAGTTTCAGTTTTTTTAAAATCTATATACCATGCTGAATGTTATTGACTTAATTTAATTTAAAATATTTGTGTTTACAAGGAATTTTCTTGTTTTGTGCCACTATTATATTTGTAATAATATATTTATAGATTTTAATTGTTTCGAGTTTAGCTATAAACTACATTAATAGTTTAATTTACAATTCGATCTAAATCTTTGTATTAAAGGTGCCTGTTAAAAAAAAAGGCAAAAAAAACCGTATAAAAACCTATAAGTTATGGATTTTTAGAATAGGTAAAATACTATGTTGTACTAAATAATTTGAAACGTTTTAAAGTATGTATAATAATTTATATTGTCCTTGTTTTACCGATGATAATTTTTCTTTACTCATAATTTAAAATAAATCCTTTACTTCCTCTTTATGATTCATAAGTTTTGTAAATACTGTCTATAATTATTTTGTATTTTTGAAAAATAAATTCTATTTGCCTTCTATGTATTCTCAAAATTACAAAACAGTCAAGTAAGCAAGATCTGGCTTTTATTGAGCAAATTAGTTAATTGCATTTGATTTATTTGAAATCAATTTTTTTGTGTGTGATTTTAAAGAAATTTGATGCCGAGGCTCATCATTGTAAGGGTCTGGAAGGAAAATATTTACAAATGGGCTTTTTTTTCAAAAAGAAAAGAATTTATATTTTTATAAAAATGTCTTTGTATATATTGCGATTATAAAAACCTTAAGTAACAACCATGTGATCTGTTTGTTATTGTACTTTGTGTGATTGGAGCATCGTATGAGATGTCCTGTCGAAGACAGTGAAATGTTTTGTTAAATATCTACATAAGTGTTAATTTAATAATGTGTACGTATATATTGTTATATTTTTTATATTAAAAAAAAATTTGTATTAATTACTTGTGTTTGACTTTAAGTACCCTTTTCTTCCACTGCAATATCTTGGAATTGACCCTCGGCCAGTGAACTAGTTTTAAGGCAGTTGACTACTTTCCAGAGTTCCTCTTTACTCATTTTTTCAGGCGTTAACACCGCATATCCAGGCTAATGATGTAAAAACATAATCACAACATTAATAACTTACCGTTTACATTTATAGAGTACGAGGAAGTTCTTCTGGAAGCTGTGACCCCTTTCTGTTTATCGGAGACTGCATTAACGCATGATAATGCTCGACTGCATGAGTTGTCACCTGATACTTGGAGGATGTATCCCATAGATCACTTATGGGATGAGATATCACGTAGCGCCGAACAGCTTTTGTTGAAAAGTCGGATTGTTTGACAAGACAAGGCCGCTTATTAGCTAGGTGCCTGAAGCCATGAGGAAGGCCAGAGGAAGTACTACACACCATTAAAAACAAAACAAGGTAATAAATTGTTAAATTTTAATCTAACCCTAAATGATTTTCCATTGTTTTGGTGAATTTTCTTTCAAACCATAATTAAACCATTTTGATTAAAACTCATGAATTCTGATCTTGTTCAAATTAAAATAAGTATATAATAATATAATGATTAAATGTAGTTTGAAATAAACAACAAAATAGGAGTTTCAGTTTTTTATATTTTTATTTGTTATTTATTTATTTTATTTTTATCATAGGGGGTTATAGTACATCCTACATAAAGTAAAATGCAACTAACTGAACTGTTCTATCTCAATCCGGTCGGAAGTTATGATTTAAAAAAAAATGCAAACTTAAGCCATAAATTAGCATTTTTCAAGATCTAGAGTATCTATTCTAATTTTTAACCATATTTTGAATTCTGCATTAAATTTTCCTATAAGAAGGAGCTATTTTTAATCTTATCAAACGCTGATGTTAATAGAAATGGATAATTTTGAAAAAAATCTTTTCAAATCAAAGAACAAATTAATTAAATATGTTCATTTCTGGAAACGCTACATAGACGATATTTTATGCATATGGTCGGGAACATTAGAAGATCTCAAAGAATTCCTCCAACTAATTAATTCTCTACACCGAAATATAAATTTTACATTGGAAATTAACAAAGATGGTTGTTTGAACTTTTTAGACCTAAAATTGTCCATAATAAACAACCTAATAGAAATAGACGTATATAGAAAACCCACAACTACAGACACTATGATACCAGCGGATTCTTCCCATCCATGGTCCCAAAAGGCTGCTGGTTTCATTTGGCTCATAGACCGGATACATAGACTAATATACATAGAATATATATATACATATATATACATAATATACATGTAATACTAGAATACATAGACTTCCGCTAACACCTGATAACTATAAAAAAGAATTAGAAAACCTTAGCAAACAACAACGAGTATAGAAATATTTATTGATAGGTTGCTAGTTAAAAGAATAAAAAAATTAACTATAAAAAACCAACAATAGGATTCAGCCACCCCACCACAAATGAATCATTAGGTTTCCGTTGTTTGCCATACATTGGTGAATTATTAGAAAAAGTTAGTAAAATTGTTAAACAATTAGGTTTTAGAATAGCTTTTAGAAGTACGGGTTCACTTAAAAACATCCTCTCCAAACCCAAAGACAAGGTAGACAACTTGGCAAAAAGCGGGGTTTACCAACTCAATTGTAATGTTTGTGATATTAAATATATAGGACAAAGAGGTAGAGAAATAAAAACGAGAGTAAAAGAACACTTGCCTAAATCGAGCAAATTTTCGGAATTTAAAGACCATCTAAAAGAAACAAAACACAATTTCAATTCAAATTTAAATACAACAGTGTTACATAGTTTCAACAAAGGGAGAGAACTAGATTGGTTTGAGAAATTTGAAATTAAAAAATGTAAAATTGAACATGGTGATAAATGCATTAATAACATAACAGATTTTGATCTACCTCCCATTTTAAATATGTACATAAATAATATTAAACGTCCAAATAATTAAATTAATTATTTTAATTGTTATTATTTTTATAATAATTTAATAATATTAATGTATCATTCTAATTTTCTACCTTTTATCTTTAATCACTAATTTATAATTAATTTCTTACAGTATTAAGAATTTTAAAAAAAGAGACACTTGATAAATTTCATTCATCATAAATTGAAAAACATCAACCCTTCAATGGTAAAATCAACCTTGAATTCTAAACAAAACAGGTTTAAATGTGTAAATTTAACGCAAACAGAAGAGGATTTTTTTTGCTATTCGATGGCAAAAAATTTATTTTATAATAAAGAGATTTGACTTAGTTATCTTACATAATTCTTTCCTTTTTTAAATCCTGCCTTATGTGTTTAAAATTTTCAAAATCGCCGTTCACTCCTCTTCTGTATGCGTACACGCAATAACTTCCGACAGGATTGAGATAGAACAGTTCGGTTGGTTGGATTTTACTCTACTTAGAATGTCCTATGACCAAATTTTTTGTTTTGGGTTTATGCTGGACCACAATGTATATTTATTTAATATTATATAAGGGATGTTGGTGGCCTCAAAGGTTTAGGCATCTTCACAGTGCTCATTCTGTAAGGTAAACGTCCTGGGTTCAAAAACTCAAAGATACTGACACCTCGAACTCCGAGGATTGATATGACCTCTGCTGTTGCGAACCGTTGTTAAAAAAACAAAAAAGATCAATGATGATTTAAATATAGGAAATAAATTTAGCACAATATACACAAAAATAACTTTATTTGTTTGGTTATCATTTCAACATAAATAAACCGAAAACAATCAACAATCAATATAAATAAAAACATTTATTGATTATACACATATATAATGTAATTTTTGACAATACATTTTTTCAAATAACTTATGGACACATTTCAAATAACTCAAGAGATTCACTTTCAATCAAGGTCTCATATTTGTAATTTAGATTATTTTTTATTTATTGATTATATGAGATACATTCCATCATGCTTTTGTGGTCACTTATTTGGGCCCATGTCTATACTTTCTAATTTTAAGTTACCGCTCTGACAAACGCCAACTGCCTCTTTGATATCCACTTGACTCATTATCACAATAATATTGTGAACTCTTGGTTCAAGACGATGTCTTTCCATGGTTAAAGAGAATAGGACTGGATTAAAATGAAGGAAAGACGAGAGAAGGTGTTTCTTTACAAAATGAATCTTCATTCTATTCTCAAATAAATCAGGATTAACATTTGTTTGTTTTTGGTTTGAATTTTATATTTTGTTTTATCCAACTGACAAGAATGTATTGGTTAATATGTTTAATATTAATAAAATAAGAATAAACTACAAATATACCTTTGCTATTTATTTGTGGAAACTTTTGAATAAGTTTTTCTAGAGTCGGTTGATTCAAGAATAAAGAAGATAATTCTCCGCCATTGTAATGATTTTTTAAAGGAAAATAATTTAAACGAGTTATATTAAATTTGAACCAGTTGGATATTTCAGAACAATGATTTATGAAAAACAAAGATATAACTTTTTTTCATTAATTTTGCAATCATCTGGCTGGCTAAAGTGTTGTAAACAGAAGGGGGAAAAACACCCTCGCCTAAAATCATATTTAAATGAAACTTTTACTAATATTGAAAACTGTTATGGTCTGATGATTTATATTTTTTTTAAAATAATTATTTGTTATTTATAATTATTCTTTTTATGTAAGGTCTTGGTCGAAATGAAAAAGTTAGTGTCACGAGCGGGATTCAAATCTGCCGAAGGTTGTTGAATCCCGCTCACACTAACTTTTTCATGGCGAAGATTGCACAAAGCTGAATATCATTAAAGCCCAAAGAGAGTAGACAGTTTCAGATACAAAATTATTTTAATTTTAATTGACTTAGAATTTTTATGTAAAGTGTGGTTGAGATGAAAAATTACCCAGTACTCTAACCCATGACCTTAGGCTCTACACCCTGGTGCTCTAACCGTTTGAGCTATCGTGACTTCGGTCCTCTTCATCAACTCCAAAAATAGGAAAACTTCAAAACGGTTGTAATTAGATGAGTTGGTGTCCCCGGTGAAAGAAGTCACTATAGCTCAAATGGTTAAGCACCGAGGTATTGAGTTGGAGGTAAAATTAAATCGAAGTAAATCATTACTTATTTCAATTAATTATTCTTTTTATGTAAGGACTTGGCTGAGATGAAAAAGTTAGTGTCACAAGCGGGATTCAAACCCAGGACCTTCAGCTCAATACGCCACTGCTCTAACCACTTGAGCTATCATGGCAACCCTAACTTTTTCATCTCTACCAAGACCTTACATAAAAAGAATAATTAATTGAAATAAGTAATTTGGTCAATAGACCACTAAACATAATGGGGATATTTATAATGTTTATTTAACCAAACATGTTTAATTTATTTTATTATTATTTTTTTATACAACATATTTATTTTTATTATGTTTTATACATGTTTAATTGGCTTTAAGTTGGAAAATATTAACCGGTATATATTAATGATCATAATGCAAGAATTGTTTGGTAATTGAAAGGGAGTTCCAAGAATTTCCCTAAGGAATCCAACATTTTTTTTCTTTCTTTACTGAATTTAGGACACATCATAATTATACATGTCCCATTGATCCTATATCAGTGCAGTTTCGCAGATAAATGAATCGACTATGTTAATTTTAAATAAATATTGTTTGCATAGCGCACAATTGGAATGTAACCGATTGTTTTGCCCATTTCTTTATTAATTGTAAATTTTTGGTCGGATAATTTTGTAAAAAGACTCTTTCTTAGACATTTGGTATCTTTGTTGGCTTTTTTACAGTGTTTCAAACAAATAGTGAATCACTCCCTCTGTAGATAGCTTGTTTTGCCAGTTTGTCCACTTTTTCATTGAATTTTATACAAAAGATAAAACTAAGAAATTTTTAAATTAATTAAAACAACTGATTTTTCTGACTGGCTGTTATTTAACAATTGCCTTTATTCTACTCTTGTAGAGTAAACCTTTCTTCTTGTGAAAATAACTTTATTTCTGTTTTAAACCCGTGTGAAAAAGTAAGCCCGGTTTCGCGTTTTTGTTCATTCTAGGGTAAAAATTTAATTTTTATCGTTCAGACGAAACCGAGATCGGTTGAAAGAAAACCCGGGAGACAGTGCTATCGAGTGCAATAAAACGGCAGATAACGTTTTACGATACAGTTGAGAAATCACGGGCTATTTTCGTTCTCGTGCATGTAATTGTGTAAAGGACGGGAGTTGAAAAGCGTAACTCCTCCGGATCGTCAATGATTCATACGGGGGCGACTCCAAAAGGTCTCGCATTCACTCCAGGATCACTCTGCTGGAGAAAAACCAAAATAGGGACGGAGGTCATTGGCGGAGGCTCGGATCGTACGGGCTCATCTACGGATTTGGCAGGGTGCAGCATCCCCTCGGGCCCCTCCTCGCATCCAGCACCTCGGAACCGCGTCCGGGCCGGTCGCGAAGACGATCCTGGGCTTTATTCGTTTTCGACCCCTCGGGGGAGGGTGGCGCGGCCAGTAACCTTAAAATGTCACCTCGAAGAACCCTTTAGGTTCAGGCGAATGGCGGGATTTACAAACTTCGGACTCGTCGTTTTTCTACTCATTTTCACTTTTCTCAACGTCTACGTCTATTTCACTAAGGTGCCGGACGAAACTAGGGCCATACACGAGTGGCTCGCTCAACACGACCTATTTCACCTGAGGAAACTCTTCAAATCCCAAGGTAAGGACATAGGGTAGATAGCTTTTCTATTTACTTTAGACACACTCTCAGGCTTAATTCTCAATTAAAAATACCTTTAAAAGTACAAATTAAATAATAAGATTTAATTAGCCTATAAAGGATGTAATTTTTCTTGCACAATAAGTAGGCACTTCGTGTAAAAAAACACAAAAAACAATGAAATTTTCACTCACAAATAGAAGAATTTAAATTTTCGAAGGTTTGTCTCTATTTATAGTACTTACCTATGTTTGTATTTAAAACATTAAGGGTTGTTCACAGAAAGGGATGTAGCGAGGTGTTATAATAATGTTGTATTAATGTTAATTATTAAAATCACTGTGATAATAGATGAAAAAGCGTGTTTTGTGTACGTTGATTGAGCGAGCACGTCCGGGTGGGCGAGAGCGTACGAATCGAATCGATTCGTTTCAACCCCCTCGTGAAAGGCCGTTGAGGCCGGGCTTGCGCCCTCCCGGCTACCGCAACCCCCAAACAACCCTCGGAGGACGTAGACTCAGTTTACCTCGAGGGCCTAACAGGACGCCCCCCCGGATTGGGTGCATGCCGTCGGGCTCCAAAATTCACACACACCACCCCTTCAACTCCGCTCCGAACCGAGACATGACAATAAATACGTGATAATGAAAGCAATAAGTAATCCGACGAAGAATTACACAGAAGGCGATACGAAACGGTTCATATTATCCAAAGGGTCCAAATAATAATTCCGTCTGAAGCCGTCCAATTTGTTGTGAGATAAAAATATGACCGACGAAATTTGTTCCATTGCAATGACCACCATGCGTTCCTCGGACAGCACTTCATCAGGTAAACAAAGCCGACACATCTCTTATTATTTACGGCATAAACAAAACATTGTTGCATCAACAACAGAGGCGTTTTTTTCTTCTTACAGACGATTTGAGAAAAAAATTCCAAAGGTCGATAATCAAGGGTTGAAACTGATGTTTGCCCAAGTGGCTATGGCAACTCGTCAAGTACACAAACAGCTAATAAATAGGTCTAATGATCTCCAATGCTGAAAAACCAACAGACAACAAACTGCTCAAAAACTAAAAACAATCCATTGAAATCGTAACACATGCTAACATTTTAAATATTCTATATCAGCTTTATGGATCAAATATGTTTAAAAGACACGCTTCCTTAATGACTTACAGCCACCCATTTTTTATGGCTATTTTGTCTTTCAACAACAGCCGACCGAAAGGTCTTGGCTACTGATGAAACAACCATAATTTCTAATAAAAAATCTCACTTTAAACCAGACCTCTTATTTGCTAGCATCTGCTTATATTTTTAAACGGTATATTGTACATCGTGGGTTGAAATTTATTAAAAACAAAGCAAGAAAATAAGTTCGGTTAAATGAAACCACGAGCCATGTCCAAAATCCGATGACAAGGGGAGAACGAGCGGACCCAAAGGCCCTGGCTACTGATGAAACAACCATAATTTCTAATAAAAACTCTCAATTTAAACCAGAATTCTTTTTCTAGCATTCTGCTTATACGTTTAAATGACATCGTGGATAGGCATTGGGTAAAAACAAAGCTACAAAATAAATTCGGTTAAATTTAACACGAGCCGTGTACAAAATCCCTTGGGAAGCGAGAACGAGCGGACCCAAAAGTCTTGGCTACTAGCATCTGCTTATATTTTTAAATGTTATCGTGGATAGGCATATGTCAAAAACAAAGCTAGAAAATAAATTCGGTTAAATTAAACCACGAGCTTTATCCAAAATCCCAAGATAAGGCGAGGACGAGCGGACCCAAAGGCCTTGGCTGCTGATGAAACAACCATAATTTCTAATAAAAACTCTCAATTTAAACCAGAATTCTTTTTCTAGCCATCTGCTTATATTTTTAAATGACATCGTGGATAGGCATTTGTTAAAAACAAAGCAAAAAAATAAATTCGGTTAAATTAAACCACGAGCTTTATGTAAATCCCAAGAACTACCATAATTTCTAATAAAAAGTTAATTTAAACCACAATTATATTTCCTATCATTCTGCTTATTTATACTTTTATATTACATCGTGGTAGGCATTTGTTAAAAACAAAGCTAAAAAATAAATCTCGTTAATTAACCACGAACTTTGTCCAAAATCACAAGGCAAGCGAGAACGAGCGGACCCAAAGGTCTTGGCTACTAGCATCTGCTTATATTTCTAAATGACACCATGGATAGCCATCTATTGCTAAACAGAGCTACAAAATAAATTCGATTAGACACGTAACTTAGACAGAATCCTAAGACAGGCGAGAAAAAGCAGACAAAGTCGAAACAAAAGAAAACAGTCCAAACAAAATCATTTAAACATTTTTGTTCAAAACAATGCTTTGTTTTTACGCTTGTTATGACACGAAACAATTCCACCCGGGCCCAAAGGTCATAGGGCACCGTTAAACAACATCCAAGCCGACCAAAACCGTTTTAATTTAAATCACGACACAACTTGCAAGCATGCAAATTTAAATAATCTAATCAAACAAATTAATCAGTAATGTTGTTTATTACTCCAAACATATTCAGAACCGTATGAAGGGCGAGAATAAGCTGGCCCAAAGGTCATCGGTTCAGATCAAACAACATACAATCCGATGAAAATTTCTTTTGACTTTAAAACATAATACTCCTTTTGATATATTATTTTAAACAATATAATCTGCATTGTGAATCAACATATTAAAAGAAGTCTCTAGATTCCAGGCAGGACGAGAAAAAGCCCCACGGGTCAAAGGTGCCCGAGAAAAAACAGAAGAAAACTTATTTTAAACAATCTGATCTGCATTGTGGTTCAACATTTTTTAAAACTTTGTCAAGGGTTTAATGTGGTGATTTTTTCCCCGAAACGAAAAATATTGAGAATTTTATGCAGGGCGAGCTTAAGCGGACCCAAAAGTCATAGGTGTAGATGAAATGACAGCCGACAATCCGGACGGAAACGTTTCAAAGTTGCGTTAAGTCTTATAAACGGAGCACGTTTAATATGACTATTTGTATTCCACGTGGGAATACAAGAGACATATCTATAAGCCTAGGACGGGCGAGAATAGGCGGACCCAAAGGTCATGGGTGCAAATAAAAAAGCAGCATAAAAAATACCGAATGGAATTTATTTTCGAAAGATAATCCCGCTTCATTAATCTACTAGATCAATCATTTTTTGTAACAACTTATAAACCCAGGATTAAAGAAATATCAGACCTGACGTGAATGGACGTACCCAAAGGTTGGGGTGCAAATAAAAAAAGCAGAAAACAAAAACCCAAGAAAATTCATTTTCAAAAGAAACTATCGCGTGATTTTGCCTATAATTTTTAACAATCTCATGAATCCATAAGTTTTTGAAACAGCTTATAAGCATAGCACGAGTAAAATGCCCAGACCCTGCGAGAACAGACGGACCCATAGGTTAAGGAAATCACATAAAAACAGTAGAAAAAACCCGAAGCAAACATATTTTTAATTGAAACTCTCTCCTGATTGATTGGATTTATAATTTTAAAAAATCTACTGGATCAATCATTTTTTGTAACAACTTATAAACCTAGGATGACAAAAATATCAGCCCTGACGAGAATAGACGGACCCAAAGGTCAATGGCGCAAATAAAAACAGGAGAAAAAAAATTCAATAAAAACTGTCGCCCGATTATGTTTATAATTTTTAACAATCTCATGAATCCATAAGTTTTTGAAACAATTTATAAACATAGCACGAGAAAAATTTCCAGACCCTGCAAGAACAGACGGACCCGTAGGCCATGGATTCACAAAAAACTCCAGAAACAACCCGAAGAAAACTTATTTTCAATTGAAATTCTCGACTGATGATTGTGTTTATAATTTTAAGCATCAATTGGATCAATAATTTTTTGTAACAACTTATAAACCGAGCATGATAAAAATATCAGACCTGGCGAAAATAAGCGGACCCAAATGTCAAGGGTACTGATGCGAAACCGAGAACTATTTCTCAACTTGCAAAACAACATTTAAACTTTGTCAAGAACGTGTTCGTCACTACTTAAAAGGTGCCATAAGGCATTAAAATAACACAAGGGCAAAAGTTATAAACTTAGTTTTTGAAAGCACAATTCGCGTCATTGTTTAGGAATTTCTGTACTCCTGAATGTCTCAAATGGTTGAAAGTTCCTAACTGATAAAATGTCCCATTTTTAAGGTTTAATCGGCATTGATTATTGGATCCGCTTGTTCAGGGATGTTTCACAACCGAAGGGGTTGTTTTATGCTTCTGTGCTTTTTTTTTTCTAGCCGTTTGTCACAAAGCCGCAAACACATTTAGAATCCGCCTTTTCGGCGAGCTATCAAAAAACGATGGTTAAAAAAAAATCAGACACTTTTCCGTGTGAAGTTTCCCCAAGTCCAAGGGGGACTTCGTTAATGAAACCGGGTCGAACCGGGGACAAACAGGAACTGACCGGATTGATTTAGTGGTTGGGTCGGGTTTATTAGTTGTACTTCGGAGTGCCTGAAATTCGTCACGAAGGGTCAATTCAAACCTGACTTGAATTATACATGAGGGGAAGTTGTGGCAGTTTTGAATAAAAGCGTAAAATGTATATTTTATAGATGGGAAAGTTGCTAAAAATAATTTCCGGTTTAATAATAATTATTTAATAATTAACTGAATTTGATCGAGTGACAATTTTCTAGGTTGTTTACAAAGGCTAGTGTACATTAAGACTATTTACAATGCATTATTTAGCACAACATAATTTTCAAGCCAGTGGATACTTTCTTTAATAACCCAAATACCAAAACCATAAAAATCCCCCATCCTCTTATAGGCCAATAAGCCTCCTTATTTTATCCAAAATTTTTGAACCTCTCCTTAAAAGACTAATTCCCATATTCGACTTTGAACATTTAATTCCCAAAAAACAATTTAGATTGCGATCCCTTCATTCTTCTGTTTAGTGCTTCAGATTAAGCGAAACATATCCTCGGCTCTAGAAAACAAACAATATTGCTCAGAAGTGTTTCTGTATGTCATTTTTACAGCCTAAAACTCTCTCATACATACACATCCTGACGTTCTCGTATCGATGGTTTAAAGTGATATTCAGCGAATCTTTCATCCCACACGCAAATTAAAGCTGGCGTTGCACAAGGATGTATCCTAGGTTCAACGTCTTACACCACGTACTCTATTGACAAACACATCCAAACACGCAGTTCACAATCTATGCGGACTGCAGACCTAGACACAGAAACAATCCAACCTATGAACCTCATTCCGGACTGTTCCTCAAGGTGGTGGATTCAGGTTAAATGAGAAAAAAACACCAAGTTATGTTTACGCTGTAAACTCTTAAGGTGGCCATTCACGATCACTCCGAATGGAACCGCGCCAAGCCGTACAGCTCCATGTGGAGTGCCTGAAATTTGAGGGGGCATTCACGACCGCTCCACAGCCAGTCGCTCCGAACGTCAACCAGTGAATTACCTTCTCAAAATGGATGACGATCTCTTGTGCTTATTTACATATTAAAAGCAATAAATCGAAGAGGAAATGGTGTAAGAAGTGGCTCCTGAACAGAAGCCGTACGACCCACATCAATTTGATGAAAGATCTTTCCCTTGAACCCGCTGATTGGAGGAACTATTTAAGGATGGATGAAACGTCTTATTTATTCGTTATATTTAGTGTTCTATTGACAAAATTACTTCTTTCAATTATTTAATCTTTTTTGTAAGGTTTTGGTTGAAATGAAAAAGCTGGTGCCACGAGCGGGATCTGAATCCATGGCCTTCGGCTAAATACGCCGCTGCTCTACCACTTGAGCTATCGTGACTTCATTCCTCTCCGACATCAAAAAATGGCAAAAAGAAAGAAAATTCGAAAGGTTGTAGGTTGAGATGGGGAGTTGGTGCCCGAGTGGATCGAAGTCAGTATAGCTCAAGTGGTCAGCGCAGCAGCGTATTTAGCCGAATGTCGTGGATTCGAATCCCGCTCGTGGCACTATTTTTTTCATTTCAACCAAAACCTTACAAAAAAAAGATTAACGCCTTATTTATATTTACTCCAGCTTGTTACCTCCTTGATTAGAAAACAAAAGACAGTCATGAGAGAAATCAACACTACATGAAAGGTTGGCAACCACATTACGATTTCTCGCTACAGGGATGAACTACAAAGAACTTAAGTTCTCTACTATGATTTCTGATCATTGTTAGGGGTTATCAATACCGCATCTCTCATTGCATTTGTATCCTTTGTTTTGAAAACGTCGACCAACTGGTTGAGGATCGAATTTCTTTTATTTCTATCGTGGTAATATAATCATTGTCCACCACTTTCATAAACATGGTAAACTTTCATACAATTCAATCACCTCAACAATAAAATCTCGATTGGATGTCATTACCAATAAAGAATAAACGTTTTTGATTTTTTGAGAATGTACGATGGAGATATTTGCTCAGTGACAGAAAGACGGAGACTGCGCCAAAAAAACGAGGTTTTTTCCATTCACGACCAGGCCAGCGCGCCAAAATCCCCACCCTCCACGCCAGTTTTCCCACTCACGAACGCGCCATGCCGTCGTCGCGCCGAAGATATTTGGAGTGGCGCGATGGAGTTTGAACCGGTCGAATATTCGGCACAGCCGGGCCAGTTCAGTTTTGCCATTGACGTGGTTTTTGGAACGGCGTCGCTCCGTTTAGACGCCTAGGAGCGATCGTGAAAGGACACCTTTAAACTCAGAGGAGTGATAGGACTACTAACTGGTCACTGGCATTTGAGAAAGTATCTACACAAGATGGGCATATACAACGGAGATCTCATCTGCAGATTATGTAATGAGGAGGAGGAAACAGCCACCCATATCATTTTCGAATGCTAAGCAACAGCTAATTCAACCTACCTGTCTTCTTAGACCTGATACTTCTAAGGAGAGTGCACTGAACTAAGGAACTAGGAAGGTACTAAGCTAGAAGGCTGTAGTGCCCGTGGAGTACAGACCCTGCTTCCTAGTATCCTCATTACCATACCATATGTTTACGCTCAAACGTCAGACCTGCCCACTAGTGCATATGCACGTTTGGCTTTATTTTGCTAGGTGTAGAACCCACAAGATGAAAACGACAAGAATTTACAAAAGGATTACTCAGACTCCTACTGGACCAAACCAACACTTAAGTCATACAAAAACTAACCTTTTACACAACATTCATCAGTCCAATTTGTACTTACAGAGTAAAATGGACTCGTCCAAATCCTCCAACACCCAAAGAAATCCTTCCAATCTAAAGTTCTCCGTCGTATCCTCAACGCTCCATTTTACGTCACCAATCAAATGATCCGTAAATACCATAAAATCCCGTTCGTGGACGTTCTGATCCGAACACGCTTACTCAATTTCCACTTTAATCTTCCACCCTAATCCACTAGTCCAAACTCTAAGCTCAACGTCCCACCCTTCTAATCCTCCACACGGTCTAACGATGACCTCCTATCTTAACCATCCCATCTGAATAAATAAGAATTCCAGCACTTTTCTCATCCCAATGCTCCCTAGTCTGACATGTCAGATTTGTATATAATTATTTATACTATTTACTCAATGTATATTTATTTTGCACATATATAAATATTTTTTTGTTGAAAAGATGGAAATAGCCATTGTATCTCGGTGAAAGCCTTTCAAGTGAGCACTTATTTCTTTTTCACTTTTCAGGTCCAACACCTACAGCAAACGTAAAATCAATAAATCTACATGGTCAACTTGGTATTTCGGCCGAAAGAATTAAATAACAAAAAAACAAGTTTGAAAAGCACCAGGCCTTCATAACTTGAAAGTTATGATAGTTTAGCCTATTCTGCGCCTTTTTTGTTTACAACTATCCCAGTAAATAATTGTACTGAATTTCTTTTATTGGAAATATTTTATATATCTCTCGATTCTAGGGTTTTGTTTAAGAAGCAAAAAGTTCCAGTCTTTGTCAGCCAAATTCTCAAATAGGGGTCAGGAGGGGTTTGATTTTTCCCTACGTTCCGGATAACAAGTCCGAACCCAGACTGGAGGGAAATTCATACAGTTTTCACCCCATTTCCTCCGAGAGGGATCGACCCGTGAAAGATTTCCCTTGCCCGTGATAGAGACCTTGTCGACGACGAACAGGGGCTGAATTACATTCAACTTATAAAGTCCGGGATTAAGAGGAAAAACAATGGGATGAAAAATACATACATTTTTTCCGCTTAAGTTTCCATCCGGTTCCTTTGATTTCCTTTAAACAAATATAAATAGCCGAATTAGAGATTTAGAATTATTGCAATTTTTAAGTTTTATGCGAATTTTCAACGTTACCTGGTAACAAACACATGTATTTAACAAATGTTTTTTCCCTTAAAATCTATTGTATTCGAACTCTGCTCATAGCTTTCCTGGTAGACGTTTGTTTAATAGTCCATGACTTTTTAGGTTTTAAGGCATTTTCCGAGCTATTGCTGGGCAGTACTATCATCTCTCTCATCATCTAGATTTAATCGAATTGGTTTATAGTTCCATGTCTTTAAGTTATATTTCACTGGATTCAAGATTCAAGTTCTTTATTGTTGATGATGTTGAGGTTACTAGAAAGGGCGTTTTTAATGCCCCAAGCAACTTTTTGGGCTATTATCGTTCTTTTCCTAGTTTCCTAGTTCAGTTCAATTGACTCGATCTTTTTTATTTTCACTCACTTGTAATATAACTTCATTTTTATATATTAATCAAAGTTTCACGTTTTTAACGTTTAAGAGTATTAACGTTGTCTTTGTCTAAAAAAGTAAAAAAAAAACAAAACATGAAATTTGCTAAGGGAAATGAAAAAAACCACCAAAAAATGGACAGATTTTTAATTAACATTTTAATATCACTGTAAGGTAAAGTTCTCGGGTTCGAATCCAGCGGCCCTGAATTTGAACCCGACATATGTACAAATGGGCTTTTTTCAAAAACACCGGCACCCCGAGGGTTTATATGACCCTCTGCTGTTGCGAACCCTCGTTAAAAAAATATCGCGTATTTCCTCCTCTTGCCTTAATTACATCTCGAAGACGCCTTGACATACTTTTTACCTTTTCTGGAAGTGTCTCTTTGATGAAGACCATTCTTCACGAAGAGACCTTTCAAGATCGTGGAGAGTATAAGGAAGTGATGGACGTGCTCTTATTCGTCGTTTGAGGTTATCCCATAAATGTTCGATGGGGTTCAAGTCTGGAGAACGGGCTGGCCAGGCTAAGACCCTGATGTTATGCTGTTGAAGGTGCGTTTGTACTATGCGTGCCATATATGGACGGGCATTATCGTGCATTAGAATAGGATTGTCGTTGATTTCATCGAGGATAGGCAACGCATGATGTTCCAAAATTTCATCCTCATGAGTGGCCGTCAAAGATCCGGCCAACAACCAACTCTGTGCGACTCTCCATTGAAATTCCCGCCCACTGAGCTACGTTAAAAATGTCGGCTCTGGGAAAAATTACAAGCTTCGGGCCTTTCATTTCGCTTTCTCCAGACTCTTTCACGCCCATCTGAAGATCGTAGAGCAAATCTACACTCATTTGTAAAAAGTACAGCGGTCCAATCGTCCAAAGACCAATGGCTGTGTTCTCCAACAAATGCGAGCCGTGCAACGCTGTGTTCTGGCCAATTCTGGTCCTCCTTCCTCGACAAAAAGCCATCAGTCCATACTGATTTGATCTTCTTCGAGCAGTGCGTTAAAAAATTTGAACACCTCGAATTCCCTGATGAATCGCTTGAACAATAATAAGGTGACGGTTTCGCAAAATTCTTAAAGTCAAAAATCGGTTACTCTAGGACGTTCAGAACCGGGCCTTCTATGGTAGGACCCAGTTTCTCGAAAACGTCTAACGGGGTCTGGCAGTGTTTCGTATGGAACTGCGATAGCTGTAGCGGCAAACCCGATGGTACGTCCATCATCAAAGTGCCACACCACCCGCAACATCCTTAGCACTAAGTGGCATTTTTAAGTTTAAAAATTGAAATTAAGTCCACTAGTTTCGTGGTCCGCTTGACCAATTAATATCTTTCAATTAATTAAGGTTTTGGTTGAGCTAAAAAGTCAATGTCACAAGCGGGATTCGAACCAACGATCTTCGGCTAAATACGCCGCTGCTCTACCACTTGAGCTTCGTGACCTCGATCCACTTTTCATCTCAAATAAAAACCATAATTAATTAAAAGATATTAATTGGTCAAGCGGACCAGGAAACTAGCAAATTTGATAAGTTTAAATGAAGTATACCTTCATTAAAGCTCTCCGGGGCCATTTCATTTGTCGCCGAGAATCAGAGATTACACGACATTTGAAAAATGGCAAAAAGGAGGGAAAATTCAAAAGGTGGGAAGTTAGTGTCCGAGTGGATCGAGGTCACGATAGCTCAAGTGGTAGAGCAGCGGCGTATCTAGCTGAAAATCGTGGGTTCGAATCCCGCTCGTGCTTTTTTATCTCAACTAAAAACCTTAATTAATTGATTTAAATTAAGAAAACAAAGATGAAACTAAACAGTTTATTACGTCAGAATTCAAATGTGACTGAATAAAAATTTTAAATCCCGTAAAAAGTAAACATTGAAAAATCCTTTGTCCTTGTTTCGGAGTGAGTTTACTTTTAATTGATATTCCCAATTTAAAACATAGCATAAACAAATATTTATTGGTAAAAACAATGATACACATTAATGGCAGATTTTCGGAAGAAAAAATGAATTGGGTGGAATTTTTTGGCCTGTATTTCACGTACACATGTTTCTATCGCTAGTAATTCGGCTTGAAAGATGGTACGGCGGATCTCATGGCTCCTTTAAGCCCATTCTCGTACGGTTTTCTATCTTTGAGCCGTCTGTTTACAGTATAAGAGGTGTATGTTTTCCTTTTTTTCTTTATATAAATTTAAAAGGGATTACCTACCTAGGGAAAATCCTGCCTCGTAATCTGAAATTCTCTCACGACTTGCAACCCACAGTAGTGGATCCGATAAGGATATTCCGGTTTTTTTACGATCAGGTAGTTTCGGACTAGTTTGAATGGATTTCATTGGCTTGATAGCTAGCTGCTTGGGTAATAAAATATGTTTGATGTTAACCATTTAAAATAACACGAAAATTGTTAAGTAGTGATTTTTTTCTTTGGAATGCCGGGTGATGAACTTGTGTTTCATGCTTCGTTATCTTCGCTGCGTTGTTAGACTCGTTTCAGAATCTTCTGAAATTTCATAATGCCACCTTTGAAATTTCCGCTAGCCGGATATTTATTCTATTAAGGAAGTTTTATTGGTTTTAATACTGTATATTTTGAATGTAAGAGCATGTTAAAAAAAAATGCTCAAAGTACTTTTTATCAGCTAGGGATTTTTCTTTAAGCCCATTTGAATTTTTAACCCGAGGTTAAATGTTTAATGATATAATCCGGCCATTTTCTATGATCGCTCCCGAAAAGCTATGGAGAATGGACCTTTTTTCATCGTCACACGCGCATTAATCCTTTAAAAAACGGCTCGTTAGATACGGATCGTTACTTTGTCATTAAAACAATTTAAAAAGGTCTTTGTGCCCGGTTTAAATGTGGAAATGATGCTAAGCGGCAAAAATAGTTTTTGATTTGTCCTAAGTTATTAATAGTTCAAACCTACTTTCTAACTGAAATATTAAAAAAAATGATCGCCACCTTGTTAAAATTCAATAAACGAATTATTTGCTATAAAACTAAAATTTAACAAGTAAAACAAATTAATTTACATTATTTGGAGATCGTGAAGTGCGGTCTGGTGCGACGTAGGTTTTAGAAAAACATTTTCTTTATCATGCAAACGTTTCGACCTTCATTGAGATCATCTTCAGGGCTTAAAGTGCTCGTTTTCCGTGTAGATGTGACATTCTTGTGTGTCGTGTTGAGAGTGCTCTGAGGACACAAGAATGACACATTTACACAGAAAACAAACATTTTGAGCTCTGAAGATGATCTCAATAAAGCTCGAAACGTTGGCACGGAAAAGAAAATGTTTTTTAAAACCTACGTCATACCAGACCGCATCTCACGTTTTTCAAATAATCATTGGCTAACGGTCACTAAACACCACCAAAAATTAATTTTCAGTTAAAATGATTAAGACTAAAAATAATTGAACATTGATGAGCAGTAACTAAAGAAGAATTTATTTTCAAAGCTTAACGATAAAGATAACATTAAAAAAAAGTCCTAGAGATAAGCTTGAATTATTGAATTATTATGCTAATTTTATTCTCAGTTTGTATTATGTAGAATGACACGTCAATGGAACTTTCTCGCTATCTCTCAACTTCGCAAAAACTTCGCTTCCTTTTGCCTTTTGCCAAGGCGGGCGGGAAATGGACTAAAAGGAATTGAATTGATGTTCTTATACAGTTTTAAACTCGAACCAATTTTTTTTTGATTTGCCCTTAAATTCGATTTCGGCGGAAAAAATTCAAACAATAAGCGCAAAAGAAAAGCCGTTTGAGTCGGATTATCGAAAGATTTTGAACGTTTCCCGCCATTTTCAAGGTGATATTTTGACACTTTCGAGATTTTCACCTAGAGTGTCTGCTGCTTCGTTACCCCAAAGAGCTCGTTTCACAAGCATGGCAAACAAAAATCGATCCGGAAATTAGAAAAGTTGAAGCCTTGATCTTTTTTAAATATTATGTTTTTTATATCTCTACTCAAAGAAGTGCTTAACTGATCTCATTTAACTTTATGATCGATTCTAAAATCATTACACGATCTGTTCTTGCAGATTGCTTGTAGACACTAAGCCAGAAGAATGATANCGGCTTTCGCCGTCTCGTCCGCACATTCGTTACCCTCCAGGCCTTTATATCTAATTCAAATTTGTTTTTGAAGCCAAAGCTAGTGTAGAGGTTTGAATTAAAATATTTTCTATTTCCTCACATCATCGTGTAAAATCATGTGACCCTTAACGTAGTGTCGGGTACTAACTTTTTAATGAGGTCTTATGTTTGCATGTAACTTCTAATCGTTCTGTTGGCTCTTCTTTACTTGCGTTAAACGTGTACATTTTTGCTTTATTTATTTGATTGACAATCACACCTGTGTGACTGGATATCTTACCTTTTGGTACCAGTTTAAAATATTTTTTTTAAACCTTTCTCGCCTTGGTACTTTGTCGAAAGAGATCGAATTTTTATAGCACGAGACGATTGTTTGACTAAAGGAAAATCGATGTTTACAATTCGAGAAACTTGTAGTTGACATCTAGTTTCGCCGTGTTTGTTCGAGCATCAGCAGTCACAGCTGCTATACAAACAACCCTG